AAATTACACATACAAATTGCCTGCAATGCCTAAGTAATATGGGATGATGTAAAAGAATAATGGTTTTCCATTAATTTGTTTTGCCAGTAGCATTACTTCAGCTATTTCTTTAAGGAGGTACAGTTTCAAAATTAATGCCCAAAGCTGCCCTCCCTCCAATTTGTATTATTCTTGGTCTCAAGCTCCTTGGGGGGCCTTCAGCAGAATCAATGAAGACTATTTACAGTGATCAGAATGAAAGATCATGCCACTTCTAACATACAATATCCTGTTTAGTAATTCTTAATTTGTCATTCTTTGACAAAGAGCAGGGTGGAGCTAATTAGTGACTTTAAACTACTCCAAGCTGCTCCTGCTGATATAGGAAAAACAATTTATTTCCCTATCAGCAGCAGCACCACATCATTACCACTTCTTGCTCTGAAGCCCCCTAAAGGGAGAAGGAGAGAGGTGAGGTTGTTACTAACCAGAAGTGGGTTAAGGAGTGAACTCCTTGCTTTTAGCAATAATTGAGGGCAGACTGGAAGTATTCACAAACCATCTCTCAAGAAGAGGGCTGGTTTTCATGCACTCCTGGACCCTCTTCCATAATAGCAATGGCAGCATCAGAAGCACCTCTTCTTCATCCCATCACTGGCTTGAAACCTCCTTTGTTCATTACTTTTTGCCATAACTCCCACAAAAGTTACTGGGATGCAAAAAAGAGAAAAGGCAGGTAGGAGGGGAGATAAGGGATACCACCTGAGAGGCTCCTTGCTTGATTCAGGGAGGAGACATCTGTGTAGGGTCACAGCACATAAGCTGGGACTTTGCTTGTTGTCAGGCCTCCCGTCTGACAGCCTCCTGTCTGAGTCTCAAAGATCACCCAGCCCTTCCCCTCAATCAGAAAGTGAACACAGGGTTATTAAGAAACCAACTCAGGGTAAAAAGTAACTCATAAATGGAAATTAAAAACACAGATTGGGGCTTAATTATTTAAGAGCTTTCCACATTAGAGCACAATTGTTTTGGCTGTGTGCAACACTTTAAGCTAACGATGCATGTGAAATAATCAGCTACAGACTTCAATAAGGAGAGAGAAACAGGAATCCTCTTTCTTACTATGGATATTTTGAGCTGCCATTGGTATTTGTGAACTAAACTGTGAGAACGAAACTCCCTAGATGCTTTGAAATCCGCAACAGGGATGATACTATTAGAAGCATAAGTCATAAGATTCAATTGTCATAAAATTCAATTATTTGGGTATGGGAAAATGCCAAGGTAAGAAATATATATTAAATGAAGGCTATTTGGAGTATTCTCCATAAAAAAAAAAGAGCTGAAAGACTTAAGGGTCTGAAAATTACATAAGCAAAAACAAACTATTTCAATAACCCTTCCCTAATAGATTATTCTGAATATACTTCTTGTTTAAAGATTTTAGATGTTAAGGAGGGACCCATTCCATATTTTATATCTCAGTCATCAGAGGTTTTCATCCCTCCCTCCCTCTGCAGCCATTCATTGGCCAAGCATGAACTAATCTAACAGTTTAGAGTGATAAAATATAACAAAATAGCATTGAGGACTTGATCCTGTACCTACTGAAGTCAATGGTAAAAGCTGATTTAAAATGATGCAGAAGCAGGTATCAAAAGCTTTATATTTGGTTATATCAATAAACTATGCAAAGAAAACACTGTTATCCGTATTATTAAAAGCACAAATAGCTTTCATCTTTTAGAAAAGTAAGGGAATTATCTGTACAACTACACAGGGAAAAGTTTGCATAGTTACACAAAATCTCAAGGAACTTATTTAATCATGTTCTGTTGGCTTCTTCGCTATACTCATCACCAGGTCTGAAAGTTACAATACTTCAACTTTAAATGGGAATCCTTAATATCACTTTTCTTTGACACATCATTTCCTCAAAGTTTTTTTTAATTAATGCTTATTAATCTAGGCAACTAATATAGAATGTAAGCCCACTGAAGAATAGCTGGGTATTAAAAAAAGAAACTTACATAAAAATTATTAGTTTCTATTGAAATCTTGTAGTTTTAATAGTCTATGAATAATTTACAAATAAATTGTTTTCAAAAGCACTTCATTACTGAAATCCAGTAGAAGTGAAAATACTACACAAGATAAAATCTTACTAAGTATAACAACTGATACAATTTCCTAGAAAATTGTTTCAATTTCACAAATTTTCTGGAGTACAGAAATTATGCCTTATAAATACTAGCACACAATAACTCAGGGATCAGCAACCTTTGGCATGCGACCCACCAGGAAAAGCCACCAGCGGGCCAGGCCGGTTTGTTTACCTGCCGTGTCCGCAGGTTCAGCCAATTGCAGCTCCCACTGGCTCTGGTTCACTACTCCAGGCCAATGGGGGCTGCGGGAAGTGGCGCGGGCTGAGGGATGTGCTGGCTGCCCTTCCCACAGACCCCATTGGCCTAGGATGGCGAACCGTGGCCAGTGGGAGCCGCAATCGGCCGAACCTGTGGGATGCTGCAGGTAAACAAACCGGCCCGGCCAGCCAGCTACTTTCCCTGGCGTGCTGCGTGCCAAAGGTTGCCAATCCCTGAGCTAGCTAATAAATTAAACTGGACTATGTTAGAACTATATTAAGAATTTCATCTATATCCATGAAAGGGAGGAAATTGCTAGTAAAGAGCAACACTGCCCATTACTCACCATTAGCGGCAGATCTTCAAACTGTGAATGGTTTTATGTACTAATGAACTAATTATATGCCAAAGTTAATTGTTTAAACCAGAACTACTGTGCAGCACATTCATTCCAACAAAGTCTACTAATTTAAGAGCAGCCTACACTGTGTAATGGAAAGTCTGTTAGTAAGAACAGTCCTTAGCTGCAATACAGCCACAGCTCACATACCCTTGAATTTGCACTGTAAACTCTCTAAAATAGTTTAAAATAGAAATGCATATATTTAATCCTTACATGTGCTTCACCGAGTTATGTACAAAGTTACTGTCACTTTAAGAGAAGCTTCTGGTTAGAAGATATCTGAAGACAAAGTTCTGAAAGATTCTATAGCAGTTGTAGACGGCTAATGAGAGGAAAAACCAGGCATCTGTTGAGAGCCATGAGACCAAACTGCTCGGCCAGATGCTCTAAAGAAAGGGTTTGGGTTTAATTACTGATCTGTAATTCACTTATATGGATGTCATCACTGCTTCTAAGAAGGGTCCTCCTGCTGCTGCCATTGCTCTACGGACAGCTTACTAAGAGCCTGACAGGCAAAGTTGTTTTTCACTGGGTAGTTCGGTAAGAGCAATTTAAAAGTCCTTTTTGGAAGCACTTTCAACATGCTGCTCTGTCCTATTATATCCACAGCCTGTGAGAATACTGAACCTGGTTATGTGGCAATTTGCTACTTAGCCAAAAAGCTTCATAAATCCACAAAAACTGTAATTTTCTTGCCTTCTGCCACTTTGCTTCTCTATCTTCAATCATGTGGGTTCTGCGTTTTCTCCAAAAGCAGAAATTCAGTGGGACGCAGAAAGAAGCACGTCTTCTCAATTCAGAACAGTCAGGACAGCTGCCAGATTACACTGACCTTCTCAGTTAAAGTTTCTCTGAAAGGCAGTGGATCAGAAAAACAAAGAGCTGCCTTAAGGACAGCAGGCTGAGACATGCAGGAGGAGGTAACTGCTACTGCCATGCTCCTAAGCCTCATGGGAGCAGAGCACCACTCTGGGTTTTGGATCTCCACATAGCAGCTGCGTAATTTGTGAGGAAAATAGAAAGGAGAATAAACACTGGCAAACGAAGTGTAAAAATACAATTAGGAAGACCAAAAAAGAATTTGAGGAACAGTTAACCAAAGACTCAAAAAGTAATAGCAAATTTTTTTTTTTTTAAGTACATCAGAAGCAGGAAGCCTGCTAAACAACCAGTGGGGCCACTGGACGATCGAGGTGCTAAAGAAGCACTCAAGGACGATAAGGCCATTGCGGAGAAACTAAATGAATTCTTTGCATCGGACTTCACAGCTGAGGACGTGAGGGACATTCCCAAACCTGAGCCATTCTTTTTAGGTGACAGATCTGAGGAACTGTCCCAGATTGAGGTATCATCAGAGGAGATTTTGGAACAAATTGATAAATTAAACAACAATAAGTCACCAGGACCAGATGGTATTCACCCAAGAGTTCTGAAGGAACTCAAATGTGAAATTGCAGAACTGCTAACTGTAGTCTGTAACCTATCATTTAAATTAGCTTCTGTACCAAATGACTGGAGGATAGCTAGTGTGACTCCGATTTTTAAAAAGAGCTCCAGAGGTGATCCCGGCAATTACAGGCCGGTAAGTCTGACTTCAGTATCGGGCAAACTGGTTGAAACTATAATGAAGAACAATATTGTCAGACATATAGATGAACATAATTTGTTGAGGAAGAGTCAACATGGTTTTAGCAAAGGGAAATCATGCCTCACCAATCTACTAGAATTCTTTGAGGGGGGTCAACAAGCAAGTGGACCAAAGGGATCCAGTGAATATAGTGTACTTAGATTTTCAGAAAGCCTTTTGACAAGGTCCCTCACCAAAGGGTCTTACGCAAAGTAAGCTGTCACAGGATAAGAGGGAAGGTGGTCTCGTGGATTGGTAACTGGGGCACCTGGCACTGGCCACTGTCAGAAGACAGGATACTGGGCTAGATGGACCCTTGGTCTGACCCAGTGGGGCCGTTCTTATGTTCTTGTTAGACTCCCATATGTGGAGCTCAAAAGGTTCTCAGAATGTTTAACTTTTCACATTGTCACCACAAACATTGTTTGCTTATGATATACTAGAGTAAAGATACAAATCTGATGACACTTTCTGGATTTATGTTACATGAAATAAAAGGCATCCAAGTCCCTCCCCAACACAAACGCTCTCTACAGGAATCAGTTTTACGTATTCCTCTCTGAATGTAGAATACAAAAGAGAACAAAATGATCTACCTTCCCCACCACCTGTCCTATCATAAACATACCTGAGAGTTGTCACTGTTCTCTTTTTGAAGGAAGAATTGTTTCTTAAATTCATAGTAGGGATTATATTGGTGCCATGGTTGCAGGAACTCAAACCTGTTAAGAGTGTAGGAAAAGTAATTTGTGAAATATACACATGAACACAACAAATGTCAACAATCATTTACCATCTCACTACCTCAGGCACAGGAACAATATTTGGTATTCTGAAATATAATAGCTTATGCCTAAATTCCCAGGGGATATATACATTCAGAAGCACAGCTTCTGGATTCCGAGTTTTAGTATTTATGTTTTAGCGTTAACTTTAAGTAGTCCCTTGAATTTTAACATAAAAAATTACCAAATACCTTCCTTAAAACACTTTTATTCAGAAATGCATGCATTGCCAATAAAACAAACAGTCCAGCTAATTTTTTTTTTTTTTTAAAGAATATAAAATGAAAGTTAAGAGAAGACTTTCTCACCTCAGATCATTCTTGGCACGAACACTGGTTTCAAACTTAATTCCATTCCTAGCAACATATTCAGCCAGCTTGTCAATAACAGGCTGGATATCTGGAGGTGGGGGGATAATGGCAACCACTGGCGCAATAGTGCTGCAAACATCAGAAGTCCATTATTTATATATAGGCGATATGAACACATTTCTATTTAATTATTGTTTTACCAAAAATTTTATACAGAAGTCCACTCTTTGGGCTGCCCTGTACTTCTACAGATTAAATATTTGCTTTCAAGCAAAAAATTAATTACAATAAACCATAAATTACGAAAAACCATACATTCAATGGATCATTTTGGTTCACCAAGTCTCATAAAAATGAGATATTCTGCACCATGTTATCTGAGGAAACTCTGGAAACAATCACAAATACAGTGATTAATAAAAGTGTTACAAAACATTTTACATTGGTTTATACAGTAGTGGTGCACATAATCCAAGCTACTTTAAACAAAAACAGTTGTTACAAGTGTCTAAACTAATCAAAAGCAATCTCACTTCATATGCTTTTAATGTCACACAGCTAAATTAAACATGCCTCAGATATGGATCAATTTTATGCAGGAAAAGAACACATTTAATATTTTAAATGGAATTTATGTGTGGTAATAATTATATTTCTAGGAATTTATAATGCATTTGTAGTGTGTCCCTGACCACATCTGAGTCCAAACTATAAACTAACCATCGCCCCTACATACTGTCAATAAGAGGCATTCCATTACATTGGTGAAACTAAAATTAAACCTTCATTGCTTAAAAAAAAATATTTTTTTACGCCGAATATAGGAAATATACATGTAACATGAAAGTATGGTACCTTGCAGCAGGTGTAGTAGATGTCAACCCACTATTGGAATCAGTTGTATCTGGGGGAGGTGGAGGCGTAGTACCAGGAGGTGGAGGCATTGATGTTACTCCTGTAGTGCTTGACACAGTCATCCCTGCAGGCAGTGCACTGTAATAGGTGGCAACATCTATTCCTGGTGGTGGAGGTGCCAGGCAATAGGTTCCATCGGGTAGCATATAGTAACTGTAATACATGGCTGCCACTGTTGCTATAAATAAATTAAAAAAAAACCCTCAAACATTTGTTTTAAGATCAACAGTTCAGGAAGTCTGAAGAAAAAACACATGGTAAAAAAAATAGATTTTCTGCACTGCTACCGTAACTAGAATGTCACTGATTCACATTTCAAATCAAGTAATGTTTTATTCCTTTTCTTACACCAGAAAATAGATATGGTTCACATCAACACAGCTAGGTTAAATGAGGCAGACATATTGAAGGTGGTATCGGAGCACATCCAAGGCCAAATAGAAACCAAATAGGCATGAGCAGTGAAGTGAACCACTAAAGGCACATGAAAAGAATGCTAACATGTAATTTTTCTTCATGGAAGTTAATACTTAAGGTATTAGCTAAATTAAAACCATGTGTACACTGTAAATATTAGGAAAAATAATTTGTATTTTATACTCAAAATCAGCTTCTTTAATTTGAGGAAAGATAATTAGAACATTAATCTGAGAGGTACTATGAGAGTAAAATTAATTTTAAATACAGAAAAGTTCTAGCAAAGGTTTACTTAATTCTAAATACTTTTAGAAAAAAGATTAATGAATCTTTCCAGGTTACCCAGGACAAGTAAAATGTTAGTTTACATAAACTGCCAAAAATCCAGGTTGCCTGGTTAAGCAATTTCCCCCTTTTTAATATTAAAGATATAGCTGCAGTACAAACTTTCGGACTTAAAGTTACAATTTAATCTGTATCCAGTCATGTAGAATAAGAAACAATTAGCCCAATTAATTAGCTTTAAAACTATACATTCATGCACAAAACCTGAAACATTAAGGTTTGCAAGGGTTTTTGGTTGTAGCTGGAACATGCCTTACAGAGGCATGTCTATTTAGAATACTTCAGCAGTAGCCGATAGCCTCACTGCCATGGGCTGCGAAAGCCTGCATAATTCATAGGCACTACTAGCACAACAAAATTAAGATTTTACCCTCAAGAGACAAAAAAATACAAAATTCACAGCTGTTAATGTGTTATTCTATTAATTATAGATGTACGAATCCCTCATTTATGAAACACCAGCTGAACATGCCACTGGTGTTCAGTTATGAGCAGCATAATTTTCAGTTGTGAAAATAAGTTGGTCTCATCCGATTGCCAGTGGATTTTTCTCTACAGCAGAGAGGACAAACTCCAAAAAGTTCAGAGATGTTTAGACCTGGAGAGAGGGTTTAAGCTTATCTCAAGTCTCTATCCATAGCAAACTGCATGATGGCTTGGGTGAAGGGCAGGTCTCGAAAGGCTCAGGACTCGAAAAGCAGTGACACTGTACACTAAGCTTGACATGCATTGATAGACCTGTGTAGAAAGCCTGAATGGCCCATACTTGTAAAGCCAGGTCTTTAAATCCTTCACTTTCATGAGCCCTGTATTTCACCCATATTTAAAATCTAACAGTGGAATTACTACACCTGTCCCTTGCATTCTGTCTTGTACCAAGGAATAAACAAACGGGTATTGGGAAAGAAATGGCATCCAGTGGAAGCCAAATATTCTCAAAAGAGAACTGCAGGGGTAAACATGGCAACTCAAGATGCAAGCTCCATAATGAAACAGCATAGGAATGGTAATAGATGAGCTAGACTTGTATCTCAGATCAAAGAGGTTATCTTCTAGGTAACAGAAGAGAGAACCAGGGCTTGAAGTTGAGTGAGATGCCTACAGGTAAATGCACATGGGATCAGAATGAGGAACCTTCAATTCAGCAGGCCTCCCGCAATTCCCATTTTTGACAACAGGAAACCCCCACACAGTTGATTTCACTTCCATGCACAGAGCGTATCAGGCTCCTCAAACACTGCCCCTTGCCTGTGAAGGAGAACTGCCCTGGTTCTTCTATAAATGAACTACCTCCATCTAGCTCAACAGGGTTTTAATTCAGAGGTTCCTGTCATTCCGTGAGGTTCTTGATTTTACCACAGAAAATTGCAATGTCTAGTTTTTGGAATTCTACAATCCTTCCCCTATCGTTTACCCCAAACTTTACTTATGATATGCGCAACATAGTAAGAACGATACACCTTTTAGCTAGTGATTTATCAAAGGCTGGTTACATTGCTTAACAGATTTAGAAACCAAGGAAATTCAGTGCAATGATTTCACATTCCCAAAGTTCAAAATTTTAGTTTAATCTTTATCTGACTTTAAACATGCATTCTATCAATTACTATGCAGCAGTGTTTGTATAATTTAAACAAGACTGGAACAGAAAAAAAAATCCATGCAACAATTTCAAATGCAACTTCAGTAAGAACTTTTCAAAATACAAATAGGATTGTGCATAAATTTTTAGAACTTGATACAGATTTGAAAATTATGACCAACCTTTAGCATCCAATACTCTGTATTTGGAAAGATTGGTGCATTTCTTGATTGTCTAATTATCTGACTTCTCCCAACCATGCTTAAGAGAATGGCTGATTTAGCAGAAAGCCTATCACATCTCCAGATATTCCCTTACAGTAAAAAACAGCATGAGGAAAAAGATTCACTTTCAGCATCTTAAATGCACTGAATTTATTAGCACTAAATCGCCACCGAAGAACTTCACTTCTATAGATGAGCAAAAGGGTGACTACCTGGGCACCGTGTTTAGAAGATTCTGAGACAGCAACAATCTACAGGAAAATTTATCGCTGCTACTGCTTTGCTTCTGAGGGATGTGATTCTAAAATTTATCAAATTCATGAATATGTCTTGAAGAAAAACTCATTGCACCGCACTGCAATTTACTAAGCTAAATTACCGATATACAAGATAAAACCCCTGTCTGTACAGATATAGCCAAACAGATTCAATGCTCATACAAGAAAGGACATAACTGTAATAAAATCCCCCAATTAGTCCTATCGCCCCCTTTTTAACATATAACTTTTAAGCACAAGCATATATAATATATTCTCCACCATAATAAAGATGTCATTTAGATGGAAAAAAATATAAACACAAAAATGTTCCTTTTTCCCCCCTCTACATTTACAGAAAAGCCACTGCTATGTTCTGATTTTGTTAAGTAGCAATTATGACAGCTGGATCCTGGAAGTACCAAAAACCAATCATAGAAATTTTTTCAGTCTCCTCAAATCACTACCCACTCTTGAGAATCTAGGCCACAAGGAATTGGCTCAAGGCAATGAATTTACCAAACACCTAGCTACGCTTGTATTAAAGACTTGAGCCTGACTGCTGCCATCAAAACAAATTTCCAGATTTGGATTCAAGTGTTTTGGATGCTGATTCAGTCCTCTCTAGAAACATCAAACACTAGTCACAGATACAACCCATCCTAAAATTACCATGATGTTACTGTGTAGATAGCATGAAACAATCATGTCATCCTCCATGATATATTCAGATTTATGAAATGGATTGCAGAAGACATCCATAGATTATCTTGAATTATCACATAAATAACCACAAAGAATACTCAAGCTGGACACCATCTGAATTTCTAATGTTAAAAAAACCTCTATATTCCCTCCCCCTCACTTCCCCGATAAGAAAAATTTACAAGGGCTTTTTTTATGCATCATAAAGTAGAAAGACAGGTGTTCAATTTCTTACCACTGCGTTGTGGAAGCAGACAAATTTCCCTCAAATTTCTAGCCTTTACTTTGCCCTACCTAAATATTTTATACCTCTCTACTTATTACAAAGCAAACATTTTAAAAGAAGATTAGCACAACTCTACAATGGATCCTCTATACATGAAGGGGCACATCTCCCTTTCACTTCAGTGAAACCTGTATCCTCTTATGCCAGAGCTTAATTTGGTCCAATGACTGTGCCAATGAATACTGTACAAGAACTGTGGATGATTTTTATATAGGTTTTGTGGGAATCTGAATTTTTCCAACTACCACACGCGGCAAGGTCTCAGAACGTAACTAATTAGTAGCTAATGCCCCAAAAAATTATATATAAATTCATTAACAGCCTACAGATTCACTGTTTAAACGCTGTTTGTGTAGGACTGGCTCAGCTTGCTAAGACATTTATGCAAAAGGTTCTTTACTAAGTGATGGCATCAACAAGCTGAAGGTTTTTCAGCTTCCAAAAGCAGACAAAAATCTAGACAAAATACAACTCGTGAACTTTAAGCAATAAGATAGAAGTACACTGTTTGTCCCAAGTGGTTACAAAACACTTGAAACATTTTAAAGCAAAACACTTAAACGTCAATCCTTAACTGACGTAAATGAATGCTTTGCATGAGCGCAGGGCTGCTGAAAGTGGTCAACTCCAAGATCAGGGTCTGAAAGAATAACCACCAAGAGTTCACTATAAACCCCTTGAAAAAAAATGCACCACTACGGCTTTAGTTATAAAATCTTAATCAAGAAAACAGTCATGTCTTAACAGGCTTTAACATCAGTATGATGTTACAGCAACCCAAATAATCTGAGTTAACAGGACATCACCAGAATGTACTACTAGGATACTGCCAAAAACAGTGGTTAATGACAGTTAAGAAAAAACTAACACACATAACTAAACAATACCATGCCATGAAGAGACACCCAAGAGATCATTTTATGGTCAGAATATGAAGATTAAGAGCCCTTTGTAATTTAATTCTAGGTAGTACAACAATTTATGCTATGCCTATTCTTATATGTAATCTTGTTTTCAGATTAAAACTATCCACTTCAACAATATCTTGCAACAGCAAGTTCCACAAGTTAATTTTATATTGCATCAAACTATTATTCTGTTTTACATATTTTAATTTTGATGCTTTAGTTTCACCATATCCCTTCGTAGTCTTCTATTTATCACAGAAATGCATAATGCTTCCTCTTCAGTTATACAGTTTATACCATTCTGTTTTATCTCCTCCTACTGCTCTGCATTCTAACTTGACCTCACTTTTAAAGTCTCTCCTAGGAGAGAATCACCTTTTGTTGGATCTTTATTTCTATGCTATTTTGAGATAGAGGAAAAAGCCATTTTGTAAGAAAAAGTTAATGAAGTGCAATCATCCAAAATTACTATTAAGACCTTGCTATTTTCTTTTTTTAATTGGTAGTTTTATTTCTTCCAAATTGCATGGAGATTTATAAATACAAATAATAAAATTATTTGTATCAATAGCTGCAATAAAAAAGCCTTATACTACTATTCAAATGTAAGCTTTATGCCCTTTTTGAACAATTTACCAGATAATTTTTACTACCAAGAAAGCCTAAGAGACATTATGATCACTAAAAAACACTTCAGAAATTATTTAACCCGGGTAAGTGCTTTACTTTGATAAAAGCTTGAAGCCATCTAGACAGCAACTTTGTGCATTTAGTCTATTGAAAAGTAGACTGGAAGATGGAGTCAATTCTCATATACAACCCATGGTTAGAGCTGCTTTCTTTAAATGTATACAATAAATCAAAGAGGGAAACCAAGGACAATGAGCTGAGTATTTAATGAGGCTTATTGGCAATAAAATGCTGCCCGACTGCATTTACAGTAAGTATTTCTTGTGGAGCTAACCTAAAAGAAGCTCAGAGTGAAAGCAAATTACTAACTAATTCTTCTCCAAAGCCATATTTTTGGAGGTTGGGGGTGGGGAGAACCAAGAAACCCCAAGCAAACCCCCAAACCCATAACCAAAATAAAACCAAAATGAAAACAAAGAACCTTATGCAGTGTTTGACACTGGGATTCCTTCAGCAAAATCAATACTCAATCCTCTTCATAACAGTTCAAAAGCATAGCACAAACAACATGGTACACAATAACAAACAGCGTTTATGTGTAAGATAGTTACACATGCTGCATGCTCAAAGGTAGACTATTTTGCAGTTTCACTCTAATACATTGAACAACCTTTCAAAAAAGTTTCCCACCTTGCAAACTTGGCAGATCCTAAGAGCTGATAGTACACCAAAGGTTTATAAATAAATCATAGTAGCTGAAGATAGTTAACACGCTGTGTCACATTCACAAATATCTGCACTATTCTGATAAAATGTGACTTCCATAAGGAAGGCCGTGAATGATCGTATTTGTCCTTTCCAAACTAGAATGTTTCTACAGGAGACGAGCAAGGGTTGTTTTTATGGTGGCAAATGAGCTGCACACTGGATAGGTTAAAACTTTACACAGTGCCAATTCTCTGGTTCTCAGCTGATGAATCTTGTCCCACTTCCGGACTAAAGGTAATCAAGAGAGACAGGTAATACAGAAAACACTTCACAGGTTCTAATTCCCTGTTTATAGGCATGTGCAAAATAAATAAGTTTCCTCAAAGTTTTCCATTTCCCAGGCTCAAAAGGGAATCTTACTTCAAATTTATAAAGCCTCTCTTATTCAGGCACAGATTTTTAAAAAGTTGTACTGCTTATACCTCCCAAGGTAGTCACTTGAAATTTATGCTGGAAGGCACTGAACAAGTTGTGTCATGCAGACAGCCAGTCACTGCATTTTGGGATGTTCTGAGCAAACTGATCAATTTAGCCAATCAAAAAATACCAGCTGCAGATGCATTTGTGACAACACTAGCAGGAAGATGAGAAAACAGTAGACCTAACAGGTGTTCCCTGGAACTGTCCACTAGAACATCATGAAGCACAGCCGGCAGGGAACTGGTAACTTCTTGGTGGGACAAGTACGTTGTTTGCAACATCAACTGTATTTCTCATTTTGATTCAGGAAAAAATAGTAACATGCACAGAAGGTTATGAGCTCTGAGAGTTTTGTGTAGTGTCAAATTTAGTACCATGACTGATCTAACAACAGTAACTGTCCTCTGAATCTCCTTGAAATCTATCCTCTGGTAAGAATGACCGACAAGGAAATGAAACTGGCCCATGTCAACAACTGAGCCAGCATGAAGATTGACCATTTCTGATTCAATCAACAGCAATTAACAGAGCACTCTCTCTCTCCCTCAATACGTTCATCTGTCTCTAAAATAAGTAGGCCCCAACCCACTGGAGTACTTGTTGCGGGGCAGTACCAGCACTTTGAACTGAATCTGGAATTGGACACTGAGCTTGAGAAACTCACAGGAGGCCTGGTGTGAGATGTTAACGTTGGTCTTTCTTGACCAGAAAGCAATTTGGTGGATGCTAAATAAGCTGCAGTTTCAAATGCATTAGTCAACCGTATGCAGAATGATCTCAAATAGGGGGTGATGAAACCATGGAAAGGAAGTGTCCAGAGGGAGGTGGGAAGAGGCATTTCTTTCTATTGTTATTATGTGAGCACCCACGAATGGCAAGTCTAAAATACATTAGTTATGCCATCAATGTTACGTGCAATATTGTTAGTGTACTTCATACTGAACACATTAAAGATTTTATTCCTACTAGACATCCATCTGCGTATACTAGTAGTACAAATCCAAGTAATTTCCATTCTTTATTAAGTGATCCCAAGATAAATTACTACCAACTACACGAAATGCAAGAAAGTATGGGGCTTGATCTTGAGATCCCATATGCCCACATTACCAAGGAAATCAGGTAAAGGTACTGAATTTGTGATTCCTGGCATTATATGGTGTGACGTTATTGACATAAACTGGGACCGTATAGATCATTGTTGCAACCAAAGTCCTGTAGTGGCACCAAATCTTGTATAAAGGGGGTCAAATAAGGTGTCTAAGACAAGGTTATGGTTTGCTGGTTATGATTATGCTATCTGTATATGTGTATCATTTTTGTAGTTGAAATTATGAATATTGGCTCTATACTGTCTGTATTTCAAACTTATGCTATGCTTCTGGGTGACACCCCAAACAAGTTGGTGTCAGCTCTGCCTAGCCTGCTTGATGGCCATTAAGGACCATCAGCTATACAACTGACCCACTGAAAGAAGGCAGATGCACCTTGTGACTCAACTATGCAGGGACATGCCTATGGCTAGAACTCTGAGGTTTTTCCATGCCACATGATGGACAGCTTGTCTTTGGGACTAAGAAAGCAGAGACCACATGGCAAGAACTATAAAAAGCTGCTGCAGCTCCTCCATCTGGTCTTCAATCCTGCTTCTTACCTCTGGAGGGACTTTGCTACTCCAGAGACTTGATTTGAACCTGCAGTTTATTCTATCACTGCTACAAGCCTGAACCAAGAACTTTGCCATTACTGTATGTAATTGATTCCATTTAACCAATTCTAGCTCTCATCTATATCTTTTTCCTTTTATGAATAAACCTTTAGATTTTAGATTCTAAAGGGTTGGCAACAGCATGATTTGTGGGTAATATCTAATTTGTATATTGACCTGGATCTGGGGCTTGGTCCTTTGGGATCGAGAGAACCTTTTTTCTTTTCCTGGGGTATTGGTTTTCATAACCATTTGTCCCCATAACAAGTGGCACTGGTGATGATACTGGGAAACTGGAGCGTCAAAGGGAATTGCTTGAGTGACTTATGGTTAGCTAGTGGTGTGAAACTGAAGTCTTCTCTGTTTGGCTAGTTTGGTTTACCTTGGTGTGCATAGGAACCCCAGCCTTGTGCTGTAACTGCTCAGCTTTAAGCAATTTGTCCTGAACTGGCACTCCCAGTTGGGTCCCACCAGAACCAGCATCGTTACATATCGTATAAAAGAAATTCCATTTTCTCTCAAAATAAAAACAAACTTAATCTCTTCAAGGCTTAATTAAGATACCAGAAAAATAATGTAATTGGTGTAAAACTTACACTGGAAAGTTACCAGTCCTTAGATACAAGGACTATCCATCTTGGAAAAATGGTCTACTGAGAGACCAATACTATCACCTCTCATTACTTTCATCTATAAAGAGGACAGTTCTCATATTTACAATAATCTTAGTATCACAATGTACTTACAATCTGCAGGATAGTCCACTTGTGACGTCTGTATGGCTGCACCATCTGCCGATTGTGGGGTAGATGAGTTATTGTCAGACTGAGCTTTGCGGACAAGTGCTGCAAGTGGATGATCAGGATCCACCACTTTTAAAGGCTGCAGAAATTGTGATGACATCAATTTAACACTTGAGCAACAATTTTAAGTAAGCATTTAGAATTTCTGAATTTGAGGAAGAGTAACAGCAATTTAACTACCCCTTTCCCCCACTGGATTCAGAATGTCTCATCATTGTGCTTTAGAGAAATACCAACAAACTGACACACCGTTTGGAACACAAGTCTGAATGGATCTCTTACACATTAAAAGATCCTTTATACCTCTCACGTCACCCTGGCTACCAACCCGCTGAAAAGTCTTATATTTATCACAAAAGCATACCTGAAGTGAGCAGTAAGAATGATAAAACAGCATATCTGTATATTTTTAAATAGATCTGTAAGATGAGGAATTCTGTAGTGCCCTACGAGTAACATTCCATCAAAGCTATCATTAAATATCAATGGTGGGTCTTGTGAAAATATGAGGTATCTTATTATAGAATATTAGGGTTGGAAGAGATCTCAGGAGGTCATCTAGTCCAATCCCCTGGTCAAAGCAGGACCAAGACCAACTAAATCATCCCAGCCAGGGCTTTTTATCATTGACCAGTTAGCATTTTTGCCATTCCCCTTGAACATCCTCAAAATATAAATGAAAGATTAGTCTTCATTATGTTCTTCTGGCTGTTTATGTCATTACCATCAGCAAGGTATCTTGAATAAATTCAGGAAACAAAAATGCTTAACAATCTTGTAAAAATAAGACAAATGGATAACATTTAATTGTCAAAATGTTATTCAATTAAACCATCATTAGATACTAGGATTCTATTAAATTGTAAAAAGAAAACATGAAGTTGAGACAATGTATGAAGGGACAGGATCTCTTAAAGAACTGTTTACCGCTGATAAATAGTTAATATGGAAACAATCCTTTATTGTTATGCAACACAAAAAGGTGTATTCAAAGCCAGAACACCTCAAAGATAAAAGCAGAGTGCTAAAAATAATATGATTTACATGTCAGGGTTCACGTAGGATTTTTTATTCAAGTGATCAGGAAATAAATGTTAAACTATTTTCCTAATAGGGAAAACCTGACTTGAAAATAAAAAGCAAATTTTTCCCTCCAATAATTTTCTAAATCAACTGTGATACTGTAGCAGATCTCCGATTGAGAAGTTTCTCCTTCACAACCCAGCTTCTTAAGCTTCTAGACCTTGTGCTTAGGACATAAGATTTTGGTCATTAAAAGTATGTCACAATTTCAACACAACTACTTCGCTATAAAGTAACAGAGGAGAAGGCTGGTTGTGAGGGAACAGAACTATTCAAACTACCAATCTTCGCAATTAGCAAGGGTGTCCAGGAAATTAAGAAAGCATAAGGCAGGGAAACTGAAGCACTGAAGTTATATATTCCAAAGGTTTTACCAATATGTAAGCTCTATTTTTTCTGGTCGTGTCAACAAAGCAAGGGAAGTACGGCAGTACAAAGATTGTACTATATACAAATCACAACTTGCAATTTGAAGCATTTCAACCTAGAACAGTAGTTTTAATATGGTCAAACACCTTTTATTATTATTATCATTATTTGTACTACAGTAGCACCTTGGAACCCAAGTCATGGACCAGGACCCCACTGTGATAGGTACACTACACAGAGAGCAAAAAAGAGAGAGCCCATTCTCCAGAGGGCTTACCTTCATAAGCTCTTCAAGCCTATTGCACTTTTTTGAGGCAAAGAGACTCGGATGCAGGTAGTTGCCATCTTCATCATCCTCATCATCATCCTCATCATCAGAATTAACTTTTGAATCTACATAAAAGCAAATGTTGGGGGGGGGGTTAGTTCGATTTCTCTCTCTCTTTCTCTTTTAAGAGGTGTCAGGTAGGGAGAAAGGAAGCAGGAATAAAGTTAATTTTGAACACCATTAGAAACTACGGCTTTAAGAAACTCAGTCATTCAAGGAATAAGCTACATAAATTCTAACGTGTGAATGAACTTTGACTTCTTTAAATCTGGTATTTTATATCTCCTTTTATTTTCCAATAACAGCTACAGAACAAAACTGAAAAGCCTAATGAATCCTGACAAACTAAACTATTACACAATAAAATTAAAATGTTCTCTTGTGACCATTTAAAAGTTGGCATTATTTACATAACGTCACACAGATACATACATATTTGAACCAAGCATAATTTATAGCAGTTCAAGTTTGAATGAAATTTATGTGTGTCACGGAGTGTGGGGGAGTCCAGGCCCTGCACCCCTCTTCCTGGGATCCACTGAGACTCTCAGCCAGCCAGTAAAACAGAAGGTTTATTGGACAACAGGAACACAGTCCACAACAGAGCTTGTGGGTACAACCAGGACCCCTCAATCACGTCCTTCTGGGGGAGCAGGGAGCTTAGACCCCAGCCCTGGGGTTCCCTGTGTTCCTCCCCCCAGCCTCCAAACTGCCAACTAAACTCACCCCGCAGGTTCCCTGCTGCAGCCTCTGTTCACATTCCTGGGCAGAGGTGTCACCTCCCCCTCCCCCTCCTGGCTCAGGTGACAGGCTCTCAGGTCTCCCATCCCCAGGGCACATTCCCAGGTCAACACTCCCCCTCCCTGCTGAGTCACATCGTCACAATGTGTAAAGTAAATTTCCACTCTCACTTGTATACATGGTTGAAGGCTTTACAATGTTTTAAGTTGTTTCAGCAGTGTAGGCCAAGCCCCTGGCTACAGATAATTAAAAACCCTGAAAAAAGGGTTAAAACAGAAGAGTCACAGCAGCATTACTAGCTATCAAATTATTAATCAATCGGACAAACTGAAGCCTTAAAACCCTTTACTGTTTTACAGACAGACTAGTAAAAATAAGAGACACAAACAAGCATGGTTAGCCATCAAATTAAGACTAATATTTAGTTGCATGGGGTAATTTTCCAATGGACTAATAGAATTTATTATAGGTGCTCCAAGACCACAGCTGCTCTTAGATCTGAATAATATAAAATATTCTCCCTTTAGAGATTTTTTTTGGAATTCTTTTGCTGTAAAAATATACTTCCTTTGTTCTGAGGCACCTTATCAATCTCAATTATAGGATGACAGAGTATTATCATACTAACATGCCAACTCTCCAAAAAAATGAAATATGGTTGTTTATTTCTTTTCTTCTTTGTAGAGTGTGCATTCCATATTAGAGCAAGGCGGTGTGTGTGCCCGGCAGATTTTTAAATTACTTTATTTTATTTTGACAGTACTAGTTACATATTTAAAATTTTACTTGCAAATATTGCAGCTCACACATACTGGTGCTACATATAACTTGAAGTTGTCAACATTAAGTAAGCCATTAGTTCCTGTGTACTAATTAGCTGAATGCTTTCTCAGTGATTGCCCTGCTCTCCCTCTACCCAATGTATTCCCCTTCTGGGAAACAAAAATCAGTAAATAATTTCAATGAAGACATCACTTCTTTTACATTTGTAAAATATTTATAAAACACAGTATCATGCAATTAATTCTACAAAAAGCAAATGCTACCAGAAGGGTGCAGAAAGAAAGCCAAACAATAGCACTTTTAAAATATGTGGCAACTTCCATCCAAAAGCAGGCTATACACAGTGATCACTTCATGTACCCATGATGTTCAGCCACTTCTGGGGTAATAAGCAGCCACTGTTAAAGTACATAGCAGCAATGCACAACGGTTTAGGACAGGAAGTGATCACCACCTTACCCAAATGAACCTGCTGGGAGTAATTTACAGAGACAGAATGCAGTAACTTCCATGTGGCCCTGCCTTATTCCAGTTCAGATAATTGCCTCAGTTTTGCAAAATAAACCAGAGAACATTTATAAAACCACACATGATCAAGACACGCATTTTACATCAAACAATAACTTACTCTTTTTTTCTTCCATTTTGTTTTCGGAAGGAGCAGCATATCGTCCCTCCTTCATAGCCTTCTGAATGAGTTTGTAATAGGGGTTGAGGTAGTGATCGAATCGCAAGAAGTCAAACTGAGAATTGCGGGCTTGCTTGGCTTTCAGCATAATCTCAAACTGAACTCCCTGCTTGCACACAAAATTTGCAGTACGCTCTATAATTGCATGCATTTTTGCAGTTGGTGGCTATGGGAACAAAATAAAAATACTTATGAACACATTTTACCAATCAATCCATGAACAATTAAGTAAATTAGCGAGACACCTGGCTAGCGTTAAACAAAGGAAGAGCCTCCAAGCTTCCATATCTGAAGAAACCCTGAAGATTCACCATATTTCCTTCCTGTAAACTTCTCCCACTAGTCTCTCTCAATACAGTTACCATTATTTCTGCTAGGGGAAATTAACATCACTCTCAAAGTATGCAAATAGTGTCCTAGACTGGTAGAGAGATTGATAGTAAGTAGCAAGACTTCCTCCAGGAAACTGTATCTTAGCAGGTTTCAGAGTAGCAGCCGTGTTAGTCTGTATTCGCAAAAATATCTTAGCAGTGTCCTCTGAACGGCAATTCCTCTGTGCTGCCACAATCAACCATATCAAAGTTTGAATGCTTTTTTCAAGCAATAAAGCTAAACAGCACTACACCATTTTCACCCACTACTGGGGACTAATGAAAGCTGCCAACCACCCTTCCAAATAAAACCAAACCATCTGGAGAACAAGAACATAATTTAAGAATTGAAATGCTTCATAAACAATACTGCTCACTGTCTTTATTTAATTCGCTACTCAGCTCAGTCTATTTTTTCTTAGCTGCAGATGATGAATTTCTACAATTAAAATAATTGATACCCAAGAAGAACTAGATGCCACGATGGTTCATTCTATGTTTTTAGATTTTTTGCACTGACAGATACAGAAGTCTGAGTAGAGCATAGCAAGATTCCATTTCAAAACAGCTAAGGCAAACCATATTAAGATTGGTGCCATTTGTTTAAATGTGGAAAAATATTTTTGTTTGAAGGTGATGTAAACACAAAGGACCTTTATTTTGGCAAGTTTATTTCTACTGAAGTCTTTATTAAAATATTAACTTGAAAAATAATCACACTTTTGTCTAATTTTTCCCCTCCCCAACCGTTCCAAGTAACACCTGAGGTTATTATAATTAAAAGTTAGCGAAGAAGTTCTCTCTATAGTATCAGTTTCTTTACTTGTGTATCTGACAGACTTTGTGCACAGCCAATTTCACAATGTAATCATTTAATCAGTTGGTCTCTGGTGGCCCTTTTGAGCAGCAACAGGGGAGAGAAACAGAACAGGAAAATATTACTGAAACCATAAATATCAGCAGGAGAACTCAAAAGGCAGAGGATGTACATGAAACTATTTTTAACTCTTTCTTCAAATACACTAGATTTAAAATTAATGGTATCCCTTTCATAACAAGCTCCTGAAAAATATATGCCGATCAATTACTCCTATGCTGACAGGGAAACTTATAACTAGATTATTAGTACTACTGGCCTATAAAATAAAATGTATTTTTAAAAATGGGGTTTGGGATTGACAATAACTGTCAAAAATAGAAAACTTGCATTTTGGATAGTAACTTTGGATTTTTTGATAAATGGACTGATGACACTTGGCGCATGTCACAAACTTAACAGAGGACCCTAGCAACTTCTAGAAGGTCCTTGGAGGCACACCATCAGCCATCTGTATGTCCTCATAAATGCAAAGAGCAGTATCACAACTGCAGTCTACCAGATGAGGAAAAAAAGATAATGAGAGGGGAGAGAAATGGAGAGCCCAGAATAAAGAGATTCCACTGTGATCAGAATGGTTCATCTGGATTTATTCTTAATGTACCAATGGGAAAATACAATTGAATAGGGTTCTATCATTGACAGCAACTCAACCTCCAACATTTATAACAAAGAAACCCTACTGCAAAGATAACTGCATTGAAGGAGTATATTTATGGCGCACTCTTATACGTCTACGATAGTTTCATTACACAAACATTTCACAGAAACCTTTGGAAAAAACAAGAAATCAATAAAACAAAAAATTCAAAATTGTAAAACAAGGATATAAGATCTGTTAAATGAATAGCTCCGATATGTACCACATGATACCAACATTAAACAGGATGAAATCCTTCAATGAATATCTAATGAAGACAAAGCTATGGTATACTGTGTGTTCCAGTATTTACTGCACTAAGAATACAGCGTTTACTAAGAGTTCTCGTAATTTTTGCCAATTAAGAGCTCATCAGCAAATTGCTAAGTAATCTGTTGCCTCTGAGATGAGGCAAGTCCACAGAAACATTTTCAAAACATTCTATAATACATTTTTATGATATAAAGAATCCCTGTGTCTTTATATAAAACAAAAAGGAGTACTTGTGGCACCTTAGAGACTAACCAAATTAGCCTCTAAGGTGCCACAAGTACTCCTTTTCTTTTTGCGAATACAGACTAACACGGCTGTTACTCTGAAACCTGTCTTTATACAAAACGTGAAACATACTGAATTCCAAACATTCACAAATGGTACCTCACTTCAGTGAAATCAAACTTCCGTGAAGAAGGAAGAGTTGATTGAGCCTACGTTTTTATAGAAAATAGGTAAATTGTATCAAGTTCAAAAATTACATTGCATGGATTGTGGTGACAGCATGGAATGAAAAGAAAACTTCTGTGGTTCTGATATTCCCAAAATAAGGGGACATATTTCTTAGACTTTATTAATTTTTCATCACTCTTTCATAAAAGTCCTCTCTAACATGGCTATAGTTGCTGTTTGCTTACTTAGGGGAAAAAATTAAAAATAGGTGTTGCACTCTTTTTTGTAAAAAGTTGAACTTTAATATATTTTTGCTCAAGGTTTTGTCTTTGTTCCAAATGAAAAGACAGATAAAAATTATATTAATGTGGTTCTTTATGCTTTTATTTCAAAGAATTTGCAAAAGTTTGCCATTTTACCGGCACATAACCTAGTTTGTTGGCTGATGCGTTTTGGAATTTTAAAAATAAACACTACAAAAAAAATTACGTTTTCTTCCAGAGTACTTTAATCAATACTGTAAGTGATGCTAAAAGCACATTACACTAAAAATTATACCCTTTTCAATGGAGCAAGTAAAATATGACAGTTCTAATTCTTTACCACCTTTGTCAGTTGAAATTAACCCACTAATTTTAAAATAGCTGGGTAGATTTTAACTCAAAGACAATGGAAAAATGCAGTTAAAACCTTATGACTGGCTATGAAAGTTTATAGCAATAAAGGCAATATTAAATATACACACATACCAGTTCTACATCAGGAGGTACGCTCAGTCCCAAGGGAGCAATGAAAGGTTCTTCATTTTCTTCAACATTTTCTGCCTGAGCTGCTTCTACAGTAAATGACAAAGTGAAATGCTACAGTACAGAACTAGTCAAAAAAATGAGACATACAAAATATGTATTAAAATTTTAAATAGAGAATTCTGATTCCTTGAACCACAGATCCTATCAGTATTCCTTAACTGCTGGGCCAGGACAAGTACTGAAAGTATTTGCACTACTCACCACGAAGGGTTTCTAAAGGCACTGGACCTTAAGAATCAAGTTATACTAATTACTATCTTGAATTTCTCTGCAATATGGAACCTGCAGATATTCAGCACTGGACCAGTGCTTGATTTGTAGGATATTGTACCAATGGCTTATTAAAGGTCCAATATCTGACAAATCATCAACCCCTGACCCAGTAGTGAACAAACAAGTCTGATATTGCAGACAACTTCCATTATATCTTGAACTATTTTATGTCATGTCTATTTTTTTAAATAAGCTTTTCTCTTCCAAAATTAAGGGGCAATTTTTCAATGCAGTGGATCGAGATGTTCCTTTCTGCAACTAGGCAAGTTGTAGAGCTCCTACGTTCCCAATGCCACTAACATTTATTCATATGTGCAAATTACTCACATGAGTAGTCTTATTAACTTCAGTAAGGCTCAGTGTGGGCACAGGTGTCCACCCATATGCAATGCATTGCAGGATCAGGACAAGCATGAATGCGAAAAAAAGTGTTCGTTTTTTGTTTGTTTGTATTACACACAAAGGCGAGTTTCTATTGCTTTCCATTATGTGGAACAATATAAGTATATGTGACTAAAAACGTTTGCCCTCTACTAAATATTTATTTTATTAAAATGTAGTTACTGTTTGCACAGAAAATTTGTATTTTAACTAGTAGTTATTTTAGTAGGCTCCACTTTACTAGTTTAGACTTAAATAGCTTCAACACATGACTGAATCCACTCTCACCTTGACAAACTAGAGAATGCAAACAATGAGAAAGACTGAATGAGAAAATGGACAACATACACAGCATTCTATTTTTGTACTTCCAAGCAGTTCAACCAGCACAGTGAGGTTCAATATTTTATTATTGGTGTTTAGCTTCAGTGACCTATGAAAAATGATGTGCAATACTGCTAATATGAAGAGATAAACAAAGCAGATATATATAAAAAAGCAACAGTTCTCCTCTGCTAGGGTATGTTAATGCTACACAGTTTCAGACATTAGAGAAAGATGCATGGAGACATGCAGATCTGATTTCAAACAGTTGTAGGCCACACTCGTAACGTTTCCCTCTAGCGGAACATACTTTAAGTGGAAGATTCAAGAAAAGATATTTAATCTCTTACAATTCAGAGAGGGATGAGAATTGTAAAGGTCTCTTTCCCCTCCGCTCCTTTCATTTCATATCGAGTTTTGGAATAAAACTGTAGATATTTAATAGATTTACATTATACAAACTATTTTGCACAAATATAAAAAAGGAAGCAACAATACAGGAAATATTTATTTTTACTGTATATTTAATAAATGTTTTGTCCATTTGATTATTTTATGTATAATACCATTTTTGAAAATTAACTTCCTTTAAGAAATAAAAGTACAAAGAAGAGCATGACTGCAACATTACAATGCTATTCTATTTAGTAACCTTTAGAACTGAAGCAAGTGTTGCTCCTCCAGATTATCCTGCAGCACACGGGAATCCGTCATTTACTGTACTAGATGTACATCAGAAAAATCCAGAAAGTAAACTGTTGAGGTATTTCATTCTGAATAAAATAACCCTCTGATATAAACTTTAATCCCAATAAAAATAGATTACTTTATAGTGGAAATAACAAAGAAAGTAGGGGCGGGGGAAAAGCCAGAATAGGAAAGTATAAAACTTCTGTGAAAATAAGAACCCTCCTTCAGAGGAGGCCCCCAAAGTCCACTTTTTTCAGGCCTCTTGGGAAGACATGTTTGATGGGATGCAGATATGATGGCTTTGACAACTACTTTATTATTTGTGTGGAAAGTCAGCAGGATCGGGGTCTAAGTCTGTTACAGGTTCGTCACCTATAAACTATTTGCTTTATTTGGCATCCATAGTTCAGAACGAGCAATTACCAAAAATCCAAAATAAATTACAGGTTTTTTTTTTTTTTTTTTTTTTTTTTTTAAAAATCAAGTGGAAAAGTATAGGGGATTTTAGGTCAAATGTTCCACATAAGAAAAACAAGATCCTGGAAGTGGAAGCAAACTTATACTAAATAAGTTTAGGCTACATCTTGACACTAGCAGAGTTGTAAATTTGTAATTGTGATTAACTGGCTTTTTAAAGTAATGAGCATGTTATGTACTTTTCCAAAAGAGAACTAGATTAAAATTGCTTTCTTTAAAGTGACTGCTAAAGTTCACATTAACAGGTTACACTGGTGAATACAGTCCAAATCCAATAACTAATTTCTGCTCCACACTGACTTGTAAATATGGCATGTTTACAATTCACAGATCAACATTAAGGGAAATCTTAACTGCACCATTCTGTTGAAAATTCATAGCATGGTAAAATACAGCAAATTACAGAAGATAGATCTTTTCATCTGCTGTAACAACTGTCAGCCCTTTTCCAAGTATAATCAAGCCTTACTAGAAAATCTACTTTGCTACCTCTGTCTGTTTCTACAAAAGCATTTCGTGCAAGGTACATTTAAACAAGTGATTTCACTGTCAGAATTCCATTTTAATGAACTGCCTTAAGAACATCCATTTCCCTTCAGTGGTACTGACTCTGAAAGTGCAGTACAAGATCTGATGCAATGTACTCTAGCATTATAAAATTTTAAAGGTATTTCAACTTAAGAAGAATTCTGGCAGGGGAGGAAGGGAAGCGTTATGTTTTCTTTTTGACAGAAATCATACCACTAGTAAAGAGGGCTTTTTAAAGACTTTAAAAAAAAACAAAAAAAAACTTGAACACTGAGTAAGAGAATGTAATAGCTCTCTGATGTTTTTTCCATTAGAAAAAATACCAGTTTAAGAGTAAGCCAGATCAACAGCTTTAACCAGGCACAGGTTTTCTACCAAGCAAGATAGAGATTTCAGTTTGTTCCTTACACTAAAACGTCCTACTCAATTGTTGTCATGATGAAGTGAAAGTATTCCGAAAAAAAAAGTTCAGTTCTGAACAAGCTCAATTATACACTAAATGAAATTAGAGTAATTTGTCTACACTCAACTACAAAGACAAAAGTGTACACCATGAGGAAAAAGTGGATTTTAAGTCTTTATCTATATTAAACATCAATTTACTGGTATTATGGAGAGAAAGAGAGAATCAAGCATGCTAGAAATAATATTTAGGAAAGCAGGAGTGGAGCTTAAGTGTTTTGTAAAATAGTAAAACATTTTCCAATGACACAGAGTCAACATGCTAAACCACAGTTCCTCGGTTAGAGCTGGGCTCCCTTGAAATACTTGAAAACTATCTATAGTAATTGAAAGTAAAATAAAATTCAGAGTGGCATGATACTAAAATACTAGGAGTTATTCAGAATGTGCACTGAGATTGTATTTGGATGTGCTGTTTTAAAAGTAAAGGATTGGGATTCAAAGAAGGGCTACAAGAATGATTCAGTGATCATATGAAGTAACAATGAAAAGATAGGTAAACTGGCCCGGCCCGCCAGGGGGCTTACCCTGGTGGGCTGCATGTCAAAGGTTGCCAATCCTTGCTCTAGAGCAAGGATTCCCTAACTGCAGTACATGTACTATGGTAATGAATTTCAAGTTCCATCCATTCACTTTTTTAAGGTGATATGTGAACCAATAACGTTTGAGAGCTGCTGCTTTCAAGCATATGACACTGGCCATTGTCAGAGATGGAATACTGGACTAGATGGACCTCATTTCTGAATCAGCATGGCAATTCCTATGGATATTGCACCCCTTTAGTAAAAACAAACAAAGTTTTCATTCTAGCCCAACAACAGCAATGCTACAGCTATGACTGAAATAGCATTTCCATTCAAAACCTCTATTTTGAGGCACTTGCAACCCTAGAATTCATTAGTATTCTTCATGCTACACAGAGGCAACTGAAGCAGAACTGTCAATCAGGGCAGTGTCAGCAGAAACACCCCTTCATCTTCCCAACAGATGGCTAATTCCAAAACTCCAATGATTACTTAACAAAAGAACATTCCAGACTAAAGACTAATTCCAACCTTGGTGTGTTAAAATTGAATTTGCAGGAATGTGAATGTTAATGCAGGTCTATTTAACCTCAAAAAATATTCAGAATGTGTGAGAGTAGCAAATAGTCCTTATGTGAGGAAAAGAACTTTTACTTTCTTGGGCTTAAGCCCATTTGCCAACAACTAAATGAAAATATTGTAGCTAGCAATGCAGCTAGCTACAGAGAGGCACAGAAGGAAACTGGCTAGTGAACTGATAAAACTTCAGAAATTAATATTTTAAGCAGAGCTGGCAGCAAGACCTATTGAGATTGTCTGACATTTCCCATTATAAGACCTTGTTTTCAGTTATTTATAACTTTGCAAAACTAACCATTTGGGCTGAAATTTTTGATACAGGCTCAGGCTGTTTATTTTTTTTAATTCAGCCAAAATGGTTCAGCCATTTCTGGGAATAAGGCTAGGGAAAAACACATTGTTTTACCCACGTTAAAAACTTCTGGCAACCTTTTCTTTTGAATGTTCTGGTGCCCTCACACTTTTGAGAAGGGACTTGAAATTAGATTCCAGGCCTGCTGATGACCTTTGTAGATACATCCCCAGAGCAGGTCCACCCTATGCAGTGAATGAAACAAGGGTACTGTGGAAAAGACAATATGTGAACATGTAATTAAAGACTAATATAATGCACCTGCAGAAAGCGGCCAAATTAATTTGCACCAGTAAGCGGTTTTATGACAAGTTGGCTGGCTTGTCATGGGGTGCAGGCTACAAGTCAAGTTAGTAAAACTCGACAGCTGCTAACATAATCACTCTGTGCAGCCACTGTTATTTTGTAATGTTGGATTTTGTCACTTGAGCTGAGTGAACTTTGCAGTGGAGACATAGCCAGAGATAGATCTCATAATGCTGCTCAGAAGTGAACCGATAATCATGTGGCTTCTTTACAGATTTAATCAAATTGCTGAGGCCTTTTCAGACCATAAAATGACCACTAAACTTAAAGAATATGTCCTAATTCCCAAGGAGAGTCTAACCTTTTGCCTTTTTTTCCCCAAGATGCATTCATATCTACTTAACAGAATAGGAAGTGTTCCTCCCTGCATCTACAGAGAAAGAGAGAGAGAGAGAGAGAGAGAAAAGACAACAGCTGAAGATTTCAGATAGCCTGCGACTTCCTTTCTGATGTTCAGTGTAAGCCAGGAATTTTCATTTTTCTGAACACTGGCAAAAAGGATGAATATTTCCTAAGAGGAAATTAATTCCTTATCCACCTTCTGTGAAACTCTGGTCTGCACACACCTTCAAAATTGTCTCTGTGCAGCACTTACATTCAATACAGCTACAATAGTTCAGATAGTCTCTGTGCCGAGTTACATTGATCAGAAAGGCAACAACATGAAAAATGAATGGAAATGATGGGCTCAAACTGATGTGATATCAGAGTACTGAAAAGCAAGTTACGCTTCAAAGAAGCATACCTTATTTCTACCTCAAAAGGTTCTACTTGATTCACAAGGGGACACTTGGTTAACTTTGGTGGTCCTGCTGACCAAAAGAAACCTGCAAGAGATAGTCTGCAGTGACTGACAGAACTTACATTGAGTACAACTGTGAATCTGTAAGAACTTCAAAATGACTGGTAATGTGACTTTGGTGGCATCTAGATTTCTGCCTTTCTATATATAGATATTCAAAAATATTTTTTTTAAAAAATCCAAATCCTTCTTGATGCTTCCATTACAGATTTTCCTGGTAGTCAAGATAACATCTTTTTCAGTGATTAAAATGACCTTATACTTTGTCTGACTCTCTCAAAAACTCCGCAGCCTACTTGAGAAGGACGAAGTTCTAATAAAGTATTGGATCTTGCACTGAACAATCTTTGCCACTAAGAGTTTGAATATCTAGAAAGGTCTTGAGTTTTCTTGGCCAGTGAGGTACCAGTGGTATCATCTCAGTTGCTTCATCATGGTTTCTCTCCAGGGTACACAGAATGAGTAGACACACAAAGCTGGAATTTCCGTTTGGCTAATTTTGGTTTCCATGTATTTTCCTTCCAATGAACTTCTTCGTTTCTGAACTCTCTTCTGACATAATTCTACCAGTGGTTTTTCCCATAGAACCACTGGCTGGCTAAATACCATTGAGGTTCCATTTCCTTGCATCATGTTGCACCAGCTCAGTCAGCACGTTATATTTCCCTCAGATGTGTATAGGCACTGGGAGACAACAGATGTTTTTCTTCCCATTTAACTGCCAGCCTCGCCCTTCTACTGTACTGGGCATGTTTTATTAAAGTTACTGGAATGAGAAAGCAGGATTGTATCATCATGCGTAAGAAACGTTCCCTGGCAAATGGAAAGGGTCCTAACAGTTGTGAACAAAAACTTTCAAACATGAATAAGTTGTAAATTGCAGTCCTGAAACATTCTGAATCTATACAAATCTCTGATTTAAGGCCTAAATCCTAGCCTCAGTGCACAATCAGCCAAGCTGTGCATCTTTCTGGCTCTGTTCCACCCAACTTGTGGCTGTCTTGTTGTTGACTGGGTTGAGAAACCTTACAAAATAGGACTCTTCTGTGCCAGTATTTTTCTCCTCCACAGTTGTCTATCTTGGTGACATGTTAAGACTCTGCATTTTCTGAATATCTGCTTCTCCATATGCTTTGCAATGGTTCTCACTGAAAAGTTACTTACCTTAAACTTAGCTGACACCATTAGCAGTTTTGAGGCTATCTGCATTCCACGTGTGCATCCTGTGACTGATGTCATAAGCCTTTGCAGAAAATTTTACTTAGTCTACATCTACCTGCTAGGGTAATCTTATATTAGTGAACCTTTGTGTCTGAACTGCTCTATCACATCAGGACATGAAGTCTACTTCAAGCGTATGGCAACTTATCACTGGCATCTGCAGATGATGTTTCAAAGTACTGACACTTTCTTCAGCTTGTTCTTTCAAAAAGAAATCCAAGTTTGAAAGGATTACAATACCTTCAGACAGAGAAGCAACAGCTGTATCCAGTTTAGGTAGCTGGAAAGTTTGCCTTTGGGGACTACAAACGCTTCCTGGGTCTGCCTGCTGATGGGTTCACTACCCCCCCTGCAGCCCTAATAAGCTTTCCAATACAGAAATGACAGCAAATCAAATATTCTTCTCTCAAATTGGTTGGGTAATATATGCCTTGCCTTTTATTTTGAGTTTCTTTTTGGGATCACGAATAGATCAAAGCAGCAAGTGTTTGTTTAGCATAATCTTATTTTTCAGGTTGCAACATGATCAGTTGCACGGATACCTCTTTTACCTAGAATCCCACTCATTATTTGAGCACGTGTAACAGATCTCCATAGATTTTCAGATAATGACCTTAAGTAGTTGCTGTTCACCTCACTAGGCTGTGCACAGTTCCCCCATGTGAGGCAGAGGATGCAGATGAACCTCAAACTTGCTCTTGATCACCTTGGATTTTTCAAGAGACTTAGGCATACATGTTTTCATCAAGTCACAGTATCACTACAAAGTGCTCACACTGAGAAAAAGTAAAGGTGCCTTTGGAAAAGAGCCTTACTTGAAGCTACTTTTTACATATACACAAATTTTGATGCTATTTCCTTAGATAGCTGATAGCCCACTTGTCTCATAGTGATTAAAAACTAGTGCTAAATAGGCAGAAGAGTGAGAGAAAGCTCTTGCAGCCTCTGCCTTGAAAAACAGAAGAAAAATTTATATTAGAAAATAAGGGGCAGGCAGGCCCTTCAGTGACACTGCCCTGGATTGAGAGTTCAGCCCCAGTCAAGTGTAAGAACATACACAACCTTCTACAGGGATCTGCAAAAAGGATTTAATAGGGGAAACTTTTAAAAACATTACAGACCAAAGTATAAACAGACAAATGACAGGAAATTTACAGATCAAGAGCTCTTTCTTCAGCCCTGATTAATTCTATCATCCCTTTCTATTGCTTGGGTCTCAGAACACCAGACTCTCTCACACGCTGCAATAAGAAATCATTTTTCAAATTGCTAAGTAATGTAGTTACATTCATAGATGCCCCAACAGATGACGGTAAAAATCAGGAGTGTTGAGACACTCAATACAGCAATATTTTTAAAGCACACAGTGGATTTTGTTATAAGTGCAAAGTATTTTTATTGAAAATGAAATAAAAGACTACAACTCTGAATTTTATGGAGTATGCCTGTTACAGGCTCCTGTAATGGCACTTTAAAGAAAAACAACTTAAAAAAAATGTAGACTGACAAATTTTAAAAAACATTTATTAATAGACTACAAATTATACATCTTAATTTTTCAAAATTCTTCTAATACAATTGTAGGAGGGTTTTTCAGCTGCCCTATTTATGTTTCTAGGGGTCTTTTCGGTTAGTCAGTTTCCTCCTACTGATTATAAACAAACTGCATAAAAAACTAAAATAAGATTTTTTTCTAATTTCTTGAATTCTAGTTCTTAGCTGTAACAATCATGTACAAACTTTTCAGATAAATATGATTTTCAAACTGAATGTAGCCCTTCAACATCATTTTATGTTTAGTTTACATAACTATTTTGCATTTAATTCAGTTGACGTGTTTTTAAAACAGTGAAACATTCTTCCAGCTTTCATATGAAACCCTTGCCAATTAAGGGGGTCTTTGAGGGCTCAATGACATTCCAACATGACAACCATCTTCCCTAAACTACTATCATAACATGAGAAAATGAATGCCAAACGATGACAACTATAGCCCACATTATTACAGTAATGTGCATAAAAGAACTGGGAGACCCATTGTGCATTACTGAATTTTGTGAATAAGAACACAATTAAAAAAAACAAAGATAAAGTATCACCAAATTTATTGTTTCCTTATCTTGACAATTATGGCTTTAATTATAATATTTTGCAGTAAATTGGGAAAATTAATATTTTGAAAAAAATAATCTAATCTTTTTAAGATGAGAACTCACTGAAGCATCTCCTATGAGAGCTTTGCTGAGACGTTACCAACTTTTAAAAAAAGCCCTCAAATTATGACATGTACATTGTAATGAAGTATGGATTCACAACTTGCAACTGTAAAAGTAGTAAGGGTAGGTGAAGGTGCTTTTACCTTTCCCTACCAATCCCCAATGTTTATTCTGATTCCTCACCTCTTTCTCTGGAGGCCTGCTGCTCCTCCTCCTCTGTGGGTTCTGAAGGATCATAATAATCACTGCCATAACTGAATCCCACGGCGTTATATGTACCATCTTCTGCTAAAGCTTCACTCAGTCTCTTATATTCTTCCTCTTGAAGAAAAATGAAAATTCTAATTACTACTATGAAATATAATTAAGCTACACTATTTCTAAAAAACAAAACAAAACAGAAACCAACCCCCCCCCCCCCCGAACTATACCATTGTTTTCAACCTAACTTTTAGATAAAAATTGTATTCTTCACACTTTAGGCATAGTAACTTTTGCCAGCAAGTTTGTGAAAACCAAAGATAACAGAATGCATGTGCCTTTTGTTGACCATTTCCTCCTGCTGAGATAAAGATTTTAGTGGTTATACAGTCTAATATAATTAAGGAAAATGCAAGAGCGTTCAGTTATACAATACTGTTAAAGAAGAACAGTTAAAAGGATGGTGGGGGGTGTTTTGTTTTTTCAAATCCCAGTCTGCCCTCAAAATCTGGGCAATTTCTGTGTGGATCTATATATAAACTATCCTGAGGTCCTCTCAGACAGGCAAAGACTCCTGTTTTTCGAATCCACTGGGTACTGTCAAGATAATATCAGAAAGAATGAGCATAAAATGAGTGGGAGTAAATTTAATGTTTTAATTATTTAAATTTAATTAAATGTGTTCTAACTCAGGAAAGTTTCCTTGAGCAATACCTTGCCTCGCCTCCTCCTCAAGCAAGTCCGTATGCAAGGCTAAATACCTCTCTTCATCACAGAGGGCATCTATTCTAGCCTCCTCTTCAGACAATTGATAATCTCTGTTCCATGTGGAATATTCAGCGTCATATTCAGAGAGGTCATGGAGGTGACCACGTCCATCATACCTGCAAGATGAAAAAGCTGGTCAATGCAGAAAACTTAGGGTTTGGGTTTGTGTGACTACTTAAAAATACTTACCCATTAAAATGAAAAAAACACTAATATGTTAAAACATGCCTCATTTTAGAAGTTACATTTAATTTTGCTACTCACTTCACACCAACTATCAAAATGAAATATTTTAATAGTCTAAATTCCTCTCTAACAGAATAATAAAGAGTACAATTAAAGGCAAAAGTATCCTTTAATAGTTTAAATGGGATCCATTTCCTTAATAGTTCTTACCGTATATGGTTCAACCAACCATTCAATGTCACTTGCAAAATACTTTTTCTGGAAAGTCAAATAGCTTACATTCACACAAACCCGAATACATAAATACCTATCCGTAAGAACCAAACGGTCGAAATTTTCTCGCTTCTTTCTGCTAGTCCCGAACTCTCAGGAGAGATCTTCACCAAAGAAACTTGCGTCCATTGGAGGTAAAATCATGGCTAGGCTCGACCCCTAGCCATTTGGCTGAGGAAATAAGTTCTGGGTTATGTGATAGAGAGACAAACATACATAGGAACAGTAACATATACATGCAATTTAAGGAGGTTCACCATAAAAATGGCACCAATAACCAACGATGTGATTTCATCTCCTAAGCAGAAATGGTTTTGTGTGCAGAAAAAGTGCTGCATTAAGATAACGTTTGACATATTTCTCCTTTATGTGTCAATATTAGAAACCAATAGATAATAAAGAGATAGTAAACTTCACTCCGCTGGTTAGTCCTCACACACACAATTCTTGACTGAGCCATCTTGCTAAATCAAAAACAAAGAAAGTACATATAACTAATAGAAAATGTTATTGAGATATGTTGGTCTTGTTAATCAAAAGTGTTTATCCACAGGCAAATTTCTGCCCCAGTCTTCCCACAGTAATAGGCTTTCTTCAACTGGGGGAAAAGATTTCATGCTGTTGGGGATAAAAATCTGAATTTCCAAAGGAGCTGATAAGGTTAGTGCATAATGTTTCATCTGATTCTAACTTTTGCTCATAAATGCAAACCTCCTTAACTTACAAATGTAGATTGTTATTGGTTTTAAATGTTATGTATACATACATACACATACTTAGAGTTTGCTCCCAACAATTGCTGCAGCTGTTCTATCTCAGGCCATTACTGTATGAAACCACAAATACCTTAATTTACACCACAGAACTGGCTAATGAAATTTTTCATCACAAAAATAAACTACCATCAGATGACAGGCCCCATCACTAAGTTTAAACTTCCATATCAACAATAACGTACAACTATACACTAATTAATTTCTGATCTGTTTTCCAATTTAGGTGTTTGATTTCAATTAGTGAAATCATAAATGGGAAAGACCTGTTAACTACTCCAAACAAGGCATCTGTGAATCTTTTCTGCCAGTCCAGTTTCACATAATGGGGTTCCCCACCACCTCCCTTCAATGAATATTTATTCCAATCGAGTAGATATGGTTGCGAGCCTAGGACCTGGAAATCACATGTAACCACTGAAAGAGGCCTAATGAAGTGGGAATTGAGGGAGCAAATGCCTACAGTATGTGATGTGATCCTTTTCAAACCAAAGCCCTTCAGGTTTTCCCATTTGAGTCTTCAGGTCCAACCACAACTGCTTAAAGCACTGTGCTTTTCAAGCCCCCACAAAACACTCCTGACCTGATTCTCCATCCCCCCCCCTCACAAGAGCCACTGAAAAGCAGGTTTTGAACTAATATATTCCTCCATCTGATCCTGAGTTGCTGAATCTACTGCAGAGACCAGAGGAAAAAAATCAAATAGCCAGATCCTGTTAATCCCTCAGACTGTGAACTGCTACAAATCACAAAAACAACCAAAAAAGCAACTCCTAATTGAGGTTAGAAGTCTGAAATTCCTGGGAAGGAAAGCTAAGTGGCCTAACTGCCACAACTCATGGCATGACTAGGGAGCAATCATGCCAGGAACTGCTTTTTAGGGGATCCCATCGGCACTTTATCGTCTAAATTAACTGGAGGAATTCAACTCAGCCTAATTTCCCTCTCTGTGCAAAATAACCTCCCCCCCTTCTTGCTTATGGACCCCACGATTTAAGTTTCTAATTTAGCATTCCCTTATAGCAAGAGCCCCCCTTCTTTTGAGGTGAGAAGCTGCTTGGGGTTTGATTTGAAAAGGAGCAGATTATTCCCACCCCTCCCCACATATACCCACCCTGACAGGGGGAGGGGACCCCAATAAATACCATCTGCCAGAGGAAGGGGAGAGACTCCTAATCCTGCCAGAGAGGGAAACCCCAATACTCCCTGCCAGAGGAAAGGGTTCCCCAACATCGCCACGGGGACACCCAAACCCACTGCCAGGGAGAAGGGCCTCCCTTAACGCTGCCAGAGACGAAGCACTCCCCCGCTCCTCCTGCCAGAGGGAGGCCCCCACACACCCCGCAGCACTGGGGGAGGAGCAGAAAGAGGCTATCACAGGAGATCTCGCAGCAAAGGCTGGGGGTTGGGTTGCACCGACCTATCGATCATGATCTTGGGGTCTCCCATCCAGGGGATGAGGTGCCGGCCCTGCTCCTGGTACTGGGCCTTCTCGTCGTCCCGGAACAGCTTGCAGGCATAGCCGAACACCAGCAGCTCCACGCGGCTGCCCCCACCGCCTCCTCCGGGGGGTCCCGGGGCCGCGCCCCCGCCGGACAACAACATCAGCGGCGGCGGCCCTGCCTCCTCCACAGTCCGGCGCGGCCCGCCAGCGCCTCCGAACATCACGGGAGGGTGCGAGGAGAAGGCCAGGAGCGCGCTAACAGCGAACGAAGCGAGTCAGCCCGGCCACTAAACCCCCCACCCCCACAACGCCGCGGTCGCCATCGCCCGAGACAAAATGGTGGCCGTTCCGCTTCCGGTCACAGGCGGGGTAAACAAACGTCTGGCTTCCGGTAAGCAGCAGATTCGTCATAACGCACCAACCAGTGGATTAATGTCTCTGCGCGCCCTGGGGCCGAGTGGGAGGAGATGCAGCCAGGCAACGGGCCCGGGGCGGGGAACGACTGGAGCCAGGCAGGGTAGCTGCGACACGAGAGTGGCGAAACTGTCCACGGGAACTGCGGGGCTGGGCCGCGGGAGAGCCGAACGAAGGGCGGGCAGCTGGAGAGAGGGGTAGGCAGGGCCGCGGGTGCGGGGAGGGGCGCAGGCGGGGCTGTGGGGCGAGGGCATCAGAGGGAGCGATGGGTGGGGGCAGTGGTAGTGGGGGGCAGGTGGGGGCTCTGGAGAGGGGCATCAGAAGGAGCTGTGGGGAGGGGGCCAGTGGCAGGGGGAAACGGGGGGGGCAGTGGCAGGAGGGGGGCAGACGGGGCTATGGGGGGAGGGGCATCAGAGGGAGCAATGGGGGGTTGGGGCAGTGGCAGGAGGGGGGCAGACGGGGCTATGGGGGGAGGGGCATCAGAGGGAACAATGGGGGGTGTGGGCAGTGGGGGGCAGGTGGGGGCTATGAAGAGAAGCAAAGAAGGAGCTGTGGGGAGGGGGCGGTGGCGGGGCGGCCGGGGAGAGCTATGGGGAGGGGCATCAGAGGGAGGGGGCGGGACGGGGCAGTGGGGCTATGGGGAGCAGCATTAGTGGGAGCTGGGGGGCAGTGGCAATGAGAGAGACAAGTGAGGACTCTGTGGGGGCATCAGAGAGAGCGGTGGGAGGGTCAGTGACAGTGCGGTGGGAGCCAGAGCCATGGCGAGGGGGGGCTGGGCCACATTGAGTGCTGGGTCCCTGGATGCAGTCAGGTGAGGGTGCAGTGGCCATTGGGAGGAAGCTATTTCCCTGTAGCAGAGCAGTGCCCTAGTTCCACTGTTTCTGGGGCATGTGTGATGCCTAGAGACTCCATGACCAGGCTGCTGTGGAAATTGCAAAGTCTAACACTCAATAGTTAGGAAATGCCAGTGATTGCCCATGCAGCCTGTTTGTCCTCGTTCCTGCCCCAGCCCTGACACCTGTTCCTCTCCTCTGCCCCATATGCACCAGTTTGTCCCTGTCACAGCGCAGTCCTGTCTCTTTCCACCCATGTCCTCATCATAGTCTGCCTGATCTCAGGTTTCTTGTCCCAGTCTTCCTCCTCCATGTTGCCTGGCCCGAGCCCATGGGAACGCATTGAAAGCCCAGGAGAGAGAGTTTCTGTGGTCCCAATTCCTGTGCATAGCAGGGAATACCAACTGCAACAAAAGTCTTGCTCAGTCCTGTATCCCTGGGCAGGGTTATACTTAGTGTAGATGGAGACTGGAAAATTTAGATGCCAAATTCTGATATGTTTCTACTGAGCATATGTAAACTGAGATTTTTCAAAGGTTTGTAACTTGCCCAAATTTGGGTGAATTTTCTTGGATACACCACAAGGCATCCTGACTAGGGTTGCCAGGTATCCGATTTTTGACCGGAACGCCCGGTTGAAAAGGGACCCTGGTGGTTCCAGTCAGCATTGCTGACCGGGCCGTTAAAAGTCCGGTTGGCGGCGCAGCAGGGCAGGCAGGCTCCGTGTGCAGCTCCGGCGAAGCGGACTCATATCCGGCTCCTAGCAGGCAGTGCCCCGAGGGCCAGCTCCGCAGTTCCCATTGGCTGGGAACTGTGGCCTGCGGGCAGGGCTGGTGCAAGGATGTTTCGCGCCCTAGGTGAAACTTCCACCTTGTGCCTCCCCCCCTCTCCCGGAAGCCCTGCGGCAGCTCCCCGCCACCACTGTCCCCCTGCCTGGGGAGCCATGCAGCAGCTCCCCGCCCCAGCTCACCTTTGCTCTGCCTCCTCCCTGAGCACGATGCCACTGCTCCACTTCTCCCACTCCCAGGCTTGCGGGGCCAATCAGCTGTTCAGCGCCGCAAGCTTGGGAGGGAGAGAAGCAGAGTGGGGCGGAGTGCTCAGGGGAGGAGGCGGAGCAGAGGTGAGCTGGGGTGGGGAGCGGTTACTTGCTGCTGGCGGCCTTCCCCGCGCCCCCCCTTCCCTAGCTCACCTCCACTTCACTGCCTCCCCGGAGCGCACTTTTGGCCACCCCCAACCACTTGGCGCTCTAGGCGGCTTCCTAGTTTGTCTAGTGGTTGCACTGGCCCGGCCTGCAGGCAGGGGCAGTGCACGGAGCCCTTGGCTGCTCCTCCACCTAGGAGCCAGAGGGACATGTCGCTGCTTCCCGGCAGCCGCCTGAGGTCAGTGCCGCCCAGAACCTGCACCCCTCACCACCTCCTGCACCCCAACCCGATACCCCAGTCCTTAGCCCCCTTCCACACCTTGAACCCCTCATTTTTGGCCGCAACCCAGAGCCCACACCCACAAACCAGAGCCCGTACCCCCTCCCACACTCCAACCTCCTGCCCCGGTCAAGCCCTCTCCCACACACACAACCCCTCAGCCCCAGCCCGGAACTCTCTCCTGCACCGCAAACCCCTCATCCCTGGCCTGCACTCTCAGCTGGAGCCCTCACCCCCTCCCACACCCCAACCTCCTGCCCCAGCCCAGAGCCCTCTCCTGCACCCCTCATCCCTGTCTCCACCCCAGAGCCTTCACCCCCTCGCACACCCCAATCCCCTGCCCCAGCCTGGTGAAAATGAGTGAGTGAGCAAGGGTGGGGGAGAGCAAGCAACAGAGGGGAGAGGGGATAGAGTGAGTGGGGGCAGGGCCTCTGGGCATGGAGACAGGGCAAGGGTGTTTGGTTTTCTGCAATTAGAAAGTTGGCAACCCTAACCCTGACACCAGGGCAATCCAGGCTGCCAAATTTCAAGTCCTTGCACCAAAGCATGTAGGCAGTAGAGCTTCTCAATGAAACAGTTATAAGAATTATTTTAGCATGGCAAAAACAATGTGTTTTTCCTTAATCTCATTTGTGGAAACAGTTGAACTATTTTTGCTGAAACTTTCAAAAAAAAAATTCACCTGAATTTTCGAAATGGAAAATGTCAGTCCCAATGATTAAATTTTGGTAAAGTTATAATGTCCTATAAAGGGAAGTGTCAGGCAAACTTAATTATAGACAGTGCTACCAGTTCTGCCCATAATGACAACTCATTGACTTCCTTGTACTTACTGTAGCTAAAGGATTTAATACATTGTTTAAAGATTATGTGGTGCACAAATATTGACACAGAGCTGAGTTGGGCTGCATCTTTGTGTCTGAAGGAAGCCTGCCAAAATGTGAATTTACTTAAGGAGAAATCTAGAAAATCCCTTGGGCATTTCATCTGCTTCTGTAGCTGTGAAATTGAATAATAATACATTGTGTCTCTGTAGTGCCTTTCAAAGTGCACTACAAAACCTAATTAAGCTTCACAATCCTCCATTTAGTTAAGTAAGACGCGCATATAATTTTATATACACACATAATTTCACCCACCAGTGAAAAGCAGTCACATGGTCGAGTGAGCAGTCAGTCAAACTCCTCCTAATAGGAGCAGGTAGACAGGGATTTGCCAGGATGGCTATTGCCATCCTTAGCCTTGCAGTAGAGCAGGGGTCGGCAACGTTTCCGAAGTGGTGTGCCGAGTCTTCATTGATTCACTTAAATTTAAGGTTTCTCATGCCAGTAATACATTTTAACATTTTTAGAAGGTCTCTATAAGTCCATGTTTTTAGAAGGTCTCTCTCTATAAGTCTATATATTATTATAACTAAACTATTGTCGTATGTAAAGTAAACAAGGTTTTCAAAATGTTTAAGAAGCTTCATTTAAAATTAAATTAAAATGCTGATCTTAGGCCACCAGCCCGCTTAGCCCACTGCCAGCCTGGGGTTCCGTTCACCTAGGCCGGCAGGAGGATGAACGGGGCCTGCGGCCGGGACCCCGGCAGGCAAGGGGCTGGCAGCCAGAACCCCGGGCTGGCAGCAGGCTGAGCGGGGATGGTGGCCGGGACCCCAGACTGGCAGTGGGCTGAGCGGGGCTGGCGGCCGGGACCCCGGGCTGGCGGCCGGGACCCCAGACTGGCAGTGGGCTGAGCGGCTCAGCCCACTGTCGCTCAGCCCACTGCCGGTCTGGGGTTCCGTCCGCCGGCTCCTGTCAGCCAGAGTCCCGGCTGCCAGCCCCGCTCAGCCCGCTGCCGGCCTGGGATCCCGGCCCTGCCCACATAGAGTGGGTACCTACCTTCTCCCTGGTTCTAGCCCATTCTCTTCCTCTCTCTCTGCACTGAGCTGAGGGTGGGAGTACACTGAGCACAGGGCGGGGGATGAAGGAGCAGGCTGGGGGTTGGGATGTAGGGTCTGGCCAGGAGCTAGAATGAGGGAGGGGGCTCAGGGTTGGGGCAGGAGGTTTGGGTGTGGAGTGCTTACCTGGGCAGCTCCCATTTGGTGCGAGGGGTGCAGGCGCTCCCGTTTGGTGCTCAGGGTAGGGGGTGAGAACGTGGGGGTGCAAGAATCAGGGCATGGGGTGTGGGGGTTGGGTCTGTGTGGGGGTGCAGGAGTCAGGGCTGGGGGGGTGTGAGGAGGGTGGAGGAGTCAGGGCTGGGGGTGTGTGAGGAGGGTGCAGAAGTCAGGGCATGGGGTGTGGGGGGGCTGGGTATGTGTGGGGGGGCTGGAGTAAAGGCTGGGGTTGTGGGGGGTGCAGGGGTAAGGGCAGGAGGCTGGGGTGTGTGGGGAGTACAGGGGTCAGGGCAGAGGGCTCAGGGTGTGGGTGTGGGCTAGGGTCATGGGGGTGCTCCCAGCCCCCTGCCCAAAGCGGCTCACAGCAGGGGGCTGGAGGGGATATGCCCTGATTCCACTCCCCTTCCCCAAGACCCCATCCCTACATCCCCACCTCTTTTCTTGGCTTCTCCCCCTCCCGCTCAAGGGCCATCAGCTGATCGGTGGCAGGGAGGGAGAGGAGGAGGGACAGGAACCCAGCATGGCGGGGGAGGGAGGGAACCTTGCCTGCCCTGCAGCAGCAGCCGGCAGGACCAAGCTTCTTCACCCTGCCTCTGTGGAGGGGGGCGGCCGAGAAGAGGGGGCCAGGGCGGGCAGGATTTTTAATGGCACGCTGCTTGCTGCCTGCCGGGGTCCCGGCCTGGGTTCGGCAGCGGGCTGAGCGGGGCCAGCGGCTGGGACCTGGCAGGCAGCAGCGTGCCATTAAAAATCGGCTCACGTGCCGTCTTTGGCATGCATGCCATAGGTTGCCGACCCCTGCAATAGAGGGTCTTTAGGTGTTTGATGTGCTCTCTGCACTGGACACCAGTCAGGTTGACTCCCATCTCTTCCCGCCTCTTATAGAAGTTCTCAGACACATGAGGATTTTGGATGCTTTTCTCAAAATCATTTTCTTTACATGATTCACACTAGTGGTTAACCAGATCCCTGGGGTGCTCCTCTGGCCAGATGATAGGGCACTGGAAAGACATCTTCTAGGGTACATCTACACTTCCCACTCTTTGTGCCCACTGCCCTGTAAATAAGAGTGCAGATAGTAATTTTAGATGAGTAGGATAAAGACATGCCTGAACCCTGTGAGTATGGACCCTATGTGCTTCTCTACATGCCCAAGCAGTGCATCTTCCAGCTACACTGCTATTTTTAGAAGTGTTGTGTGTCCTGCTGCCAAAGCCTTTCCCCGCTGCAGGGAAAGACTCCAGCAGTGGAAGAAGTCTCTGGCATGGGGAGACGGGGGGAAAGGCTCTGGCAGCTCCCCATGGTAGTTGTCATGTGCTATGATGGAACACAGCTAGCAGAAGCTGTCTATTTGTTGACATCTACACCATTCATGACTAGCTTACTCTGCAAGCATTGGTTAAACATTGATTAAAGCATGGGTTAAACATTTTAGCCTTATAGTGTATGGCAGAACCAGGAAATAATGAACAACTAAAGCAGTTTTTTGAGGGCCAATATGTGGGATCCATGCACCGATCTGATACTTGATCTGCGGAAAAGGGGATCAGTGGCCTCTAACGCCATCCCATTTCATTCTGATCCTGAAGAGGGTGTTAACTTAGTGTCTGAGAACCTCACAATTGTTAACATAGTTCTCCTTACAACGCTGATATGAATTAGGAAAGTGCTGTTACCGCCATTTTACAGATGGGGAATTGAGGCACAGAGAGACTAAGGGCTTGGTTTGGAAAGGGGACTTACATGTGTCAATGCCTAGCTCCTAGGTGACCTGCCATCCAGTGGAATTCACAGTCCTGAGTTAAGACACCTTGGCTTCCCAATTCACGGAGATCATCAGGTTCCTGAGAAAGGGATTCACAGAAATCTGAGTTAGAAGCCAGCTAAGCTAGCCAGAACTCTTGTGCAGAGGAAAGGGGCAGGGCTTAGATCCCTGATGAGGGAAAGTACTTGGGCACCTGCTATCTCTGCTCAGGATTCACAACTATGAACTCTCTTCTGGAGTGAGGCAGCTAAGCCAGGTCAGCCCTTTCTAATGAAAAACAAGAGAGAGACATACCCACCCCATTTAAGCCAACAGCCCCACAGTTAGAGCACTCCCAGGGGAGATGGGAAACCTGCTTTCCAATCCCCACTTTGCCTGCTTTGGAGCAGAGACTTGAATCCACGTCTCCCTGGTGAGTGCCTAAACCACCAAACTACTGGGTATTCTGGGGTGGGTTTTCCTCAGTCTCTACTGTTGAAGTTGTTCCACTCTGTATACTAATTAAATATTCATTGGGTGAGAAAGAGAGTGACTCTATAGCCTGATGGGCAGGGTCCTCCCCTAGGCTATAGGAGAGTCAGGTTCATGTGCTTTCTCTAATAACTATTTAATTTATACAAAGTGAAACAGCATCAACAGGAGAGCTAGAGAGCATCCCACTTTGGAATACCCTGTAGCTGGGTGGTTAGGGCATGTAGCTGGGCGGTGAAAGACATGTTCTAACTCAAGAGTGCAGGGGTTTAATCTTGGGCCTTCTCTAACCACGGAGCTTTGTGGTATTCTGCAGTGCACATGGCAAGTCACAAAAACTGCAAACCAGGTTGCCCCCTGCGTCTTTTGTGTGTGTTAGGCATGCTCCAGGCATGCCCACTGGACTGATCCCAGCCAGTGAGATAGGCAGGGGAATGCCTATCGTTTTAAAATCCCATTGGGGCTTAAGAATGAATTAGGTGTCAAACAGCTTGGTGGTATCAGGACTGAGGTGGCTTTGCACACACCCATTGGCAGAAAACCTAGGTTTTGAGAGAGGACTACACTGAAAGAAACATAGGCACATCTTAGGCAAGTGTCTTGCCTAAGGTCATATAGGAAGAATATAGTGAAACTGGGAGCAGACCTTGCGTCTCCCAATTCCTGTGCTAGGACTATAACCATTAGGCAGTCTTTCAGGGCTCTTAATGAACCAATGCTCTTGATGCTTTTCCACTGGGCAACAATAATTATTTTTCCTTCAGTGTTTGTAATGAAGTTTAAAGTTAACCTGATTACTTTTATTTTCTTCTTTGTGTGCACCAGCATCAGCACTGATGTTAAAAACACTCCAGGGAATAGAATTGATGTCATTGGCCAGATAACTGCAGTCTTGGAAAACAGTGATGCAGAACAGATATTGGAGTAGACCAACGAACTACATTTATTAAGGGGAAGAGCTAAACAAACCACAAGACATAGTGTCTACAAAATCCAGGACTCAGCCAAACTGCTTAACTTCAGCAGACTGTAACTGAATACCAGTGGGAGAAAATACTCTGAGGTAAACTACAGGCTTCTGCCACAAAGCTTTTATATAGCAAAATGCCCATGCTGCCTCAGTTCCTGATGATTATCACAGCAGTGTTATACCTTAAATTAGCCCCAGCTGGCCTTGCTGGACCGCAAAGAAGCCAATTATCAGGCAGGAGCTGACAGAATTAGTTTCTCTCTCTTGCTGGATGAAGTTGGGATAAGAATATTTATTATTTTCTCCAGCTTGTCTTGGGTAAGATATCCTACTTTCATTTACTTGGCAGGAGAGAAGCAATAAAATAAGTTAAAATAAAGTTTCCACTCTGAGACTGACACCTGTCTCTTCTCCCTAGTTTAGCAGAGGTGGACATGGCCCTGTTCAGTTTCCCCTTAAATCAGAGGAGAAAAAGGATTCCTGTGTGCTTGCAAGGAGGTTTCAAAAGAAAGCATGCTGTGTTGATTTTACAAAAAAGAAGAAAGATAATTAACTACTGTTTATATCAAGGGTGGGCAAACTTTTTGGCCCAAGAGCCACATCAGGGTTGCGCAACTGTATGGAGGGCCGGGTAGGGAAGGCTGTGCCTCCCCAAACAGCCTGGCCCCTGCTCCCTATCCACCCACTTCCTGCCCCCCTCAGACTCCCGACCCATCCAACCCCACCTGCTCCTTGGCCCCTGACCGCCCCGTCCCAGGACCCCCGCACCCCTAACCACCCCCCGGGACCCCAGCCCCTATCCAACTTCCCCCCGCTCCCTGTCCCCTGACTGCCACAACCCTATCCACACCCCTGCCCCTAACTGCCCTCTGGGACCTCAACCCCTATCCAACTCCCCCTGCTCCCCATTCCCTGACTGCCCCCCCCCCCACTGAATCTCCACCCCATCCAACCACCCCTTGTCCCCTGACTGCCCCTCGGGATCTGCTGCCTCTTATCCAACCACCCTACTCCCCCGCCCCCTTACCAGGCCGGAGCCAGCCACACCGCCATGCTGCCTGAGAGGAGCAGCGGGCCAGAGTGCTGCTCATGCAGCAGTATGACTGTGGGGGGAGGAGGGACAGTGGGGGAGGGGCCAGGGATGAGCCTCCCCGGCGGGGACCTCAGGGGCTGGGCAGGACGGTCCCGCGGGCCGGATGAGGCCCATGGGCTATAGTTTGCCCACCTCTGTTTATATCCTATCTGTATCATATGCACTCACACACTCCATAAGAAGGAATTCATGGTGCAGAGAAGTAATTAAATAAAAGCTTTCGGAACAGGGAAGGAGTGATGTTCTCATCCTGTGTCTTCATAGGCTCTTTTATCAGGGATCCTCTGAAAAGGAAAACTAAGGAGAAACTGCATTTCTTCCTATGCAGAACTTTTTTTCCCCCACACAAGTAAAAAAGGTTATTTTATGTGTTTTGCTTTGTGTATATAGTACTTTAATGCTGGCTGTTTATTAATAATCCAAGCACCATACTGTGGTGCACAAAGCAGAGGACGACTTTCTCTTCCAAAGTCGTGTCCCCCAAATTAGAATGATAATGCAGTTCAAACACACAATACAGTGGATGATCATAGGAAGGTCCATTTCAGATTGGTGCAGATTTCTCTTTTAAACATTTCCCTGGTATGTTATCATGGAAAGGCTTAGTGGAAAAGGTATGTTACGTGGGAAGATTTGAAGGAAGAGAAGGCAGTTGTTTGGTGCACACAAATAGAAGGGGTTCCAGCATAGGCAGTCATGAGAAAAGGTGCAAATGTGGATGCTGGGGAAAGCTACAAAAAGAACATTTAGGAGAGTGATGGGGTGGGAATGGAGACCGTTAGACAGGAATAGGAGGAAATATCTGACTACGAGGGAAAGGCAGAGTTGTGCAGGTGAGCACATGAAGTTTCATCTTAGTGCAGAAGGTTGGAGGAATCTATGCTATATGGCAGAGGTGGTCAAACTGTGGCTCGTGAGCCACATGCTGCTCTTTTATCATTAAAGTGCAGCTCATGGAGCCCCACAGGCCCCCCCGATTCTCCGCTTACCAGACTTGGGGGTATGGGGGGGATCAGGACCTCTGCCTTGCAGCAGGGTGGTGCGGTATGGGGAGGGGGGTCTTGGGGCTTTAGCAGGAGCAGGGCTGAAGTCCCAACTCGTGGCTCCTGGCAGGTGTGCCCTGACTCTCGAACTTCTGAAGATTGTCATATGTAGCTCGGCAGGCCAGTAAGTTTGGCTACCCCTGATATATGGGGAGACCATACGAGAGAGGAGGCTGCCTTGATCAAAATGGGATATAACCAAAGCATGGACAATGTTTTTTGGATGAGAATGTTGAGATTGTGTATTACTCTTCAATAATATTATAGAATTATTTTAAAATACTATAGTTATTTAGACTACAAAAGACATTCCAGATTAGAATAACTTTGACAGTCATCAGCTATTTGAAAATGTTTATATTGTTTTTTTGAAAGCAAGAGAAATTGGAATAAACAATCACTTCCTAGAGAAAGTATTGATATGTGTTATAGACAACACCATGAATGTATAATCTTTGTTTTCTAAAGGGGTCTGTTTTGCAGAAGAGAGAGATTTCCTTTCTCTTTATCTCCTTCTAGAGTCAGCATAGCTAACAGCAATTTGGGGGAGGAGGTGCTTGCTGGTGCAATGGCCTCATGCACTTGCCTTTCTCCTTTGAAGTCCTTTTTTAAAACCTGGTTCAGGATACACGAGGAAAAGCGTTTGTCTCCAGTCTTGTTTCCCATTTGTTCTCTTCACAGTTTGGCACAAGTCAGCATCATTAACAGGCAGTGTTAAAAAATAGCCCTGTGCTAGAATAGCAAGGGAGTTGTAGATTTGTTAAGGAAACTTGCCCAGACCAGAGCCTGCCTATGTTAAAATCCCTCATTTACAAGGCTGCTAAACTTCTCATAATTCAATTATCAAAAAAGAAAAGTTCTCTAAATAATTCTGACTTTCTCAAGTTATAGCCACTTTTGCCAGTGCAGTAGGATCCACAACATAGCACATCCAAAAATATATCGGAATGAGATCCCTTTTTCAATGCAGTACACTGCATAAAGTGCATGGTAGTAATAAGAGCACCATGGGTAGATAAATTATGGATATTTTACCTACAGCAATCTGTGCTTCCCAGTGTTTAGGATCTTTTCCAAGTCACTGGTATGAATGTGCACTGATTCATGAGTTTAGCTGCTCTACCCCTTTGTTTCCATGAGTTGTTCACCTTTCATGAGCATCATGAGTCCCCATGGATGAGGTAAAGATTCCATTTATTGATGTGTGTAAAGGGAATAATGAGTTCCAAAAACTCTGGATGCAGATATAATTGTGTGAAATAGAAACATCTTGTGTTACTTTGCCACATATAAAAAAAATCTGCATCTGTACATTTTTGCTATACCTTATCAACTTTCTTATGTTGCCTTCTCATTGGGTAGGACAGCGGTTCTAAAACTGTGGTCAGGACCGCAAAGTGGGTCGCAACCCAATTTTAATGGGTCACCAGGGCTGGCTTAGACTTGCTGCGGCCCAGGGCCAAGGCCCAAGCCTAAGGGCTTCAGCCCTGGGTGGTAAGGCTAAGGTTACGGGCCCCCTGCCTAGGGCTGAAGCTCTTGGGCTTCAGCTTTGGCCCCCTGGCCTGGGGTAATGCAGCTTTGACTCTTCTCCCCTCCCACTGGGGGTGGCAGGGCTTGGGCGAGCTCAGGCTTTGGTCCCCGCTCCTGGGGTCCTGTAGTAATTTTTGTTGTCAGAAGGGGATTGCAGTGCAATGAAGTTTGAGAACCCCTGGGGTAGGGGGATTTTTCAGAGAGAACTTGGGGTGGTGAGTGATGTGGTGTACACCTCCACACAAGGTGGCAGAGCAGGTTAAATTAGGATAATTAACCTGATGGGTTGTACCTGGGGAAGAGCCAGGGATTGAAGGCCTGATTGAACATGGAGCCCAGCTGGAAAGGAACAGGCAGGGCTAAGATAAAGCCAGGAAGCTGGCAGTAGCATGGGGCTGCAGTAAGGGAGCCTGTAGCCACTCTCTAGTTTGTAGAGAGGGAAAGAAGGGAAACTAGGTGGAGAGGGTGTAGGGAAAGGCTCAGAGGAAAGGCAGGAAGGCTTAAGGGAGTGCAGACTGTGGCTGCTGATTAGAGGGTCTGTAAGATGGAACCAGGAGTAGAGAGTGGGCTTGGCTTCCCCTACCAGTCACTGGAGAAGCGCACCATTGGGGAAGTGAAGGAAAGACAGCCATCTTGGAGGAAGAGACTTTGATACGCTCGGAAGGGGGGAAAACACAGTGACCTAGCCAGAGAGCCAAGCATAAAGACACAGCACCCTGAGTCGCAGAGAGCGACAGAGAGCACAGTGACAGGGCCTGCAGCAAGCAGCAGAGAGGGGTTTTGGACCAGAGTGGAACTAATCCCCAAATGTGGTCAGAAGGAGGTGCCCTAGTGGTGCGCGCACCCCATGACATGGTGATATTAGCATTATAAAATATTTGTATTAGAGTAGCACCCAGAGACCCCAGTCGGGGTAAATGATATTGTTCCCTTTCCCTATCCACCCACCCCCCCTTCCTTTTCTGTCTTCATTCCAAAAACGTCTCCAGGCCTGCTCTTCCATAGCATGCCTCCAACCCGTCCTCTCCCACCCTGCTGCTGTTTCCCATTTAAAGGCCACAGCTGAGAACCTTTCTAATGTCCAGACCCCTACTCAGAATCTGAATACCTGGGCTGTTCTTTCCAAATGCTGGAATAGACAAGAGCTACAAAGCTGCATCATAAGTCTGTGGCTGGAAGAGAGCCATAGTAGCAAGCTGTTGAAAACCAATGTGTGTTTTTTGTTTTTAACTGCAATTAGTATCTTCACTGCTGACATATATGACATCATTCTATGGATGCATGTTTGAAAACAGTGAATTCTAGTTTACACATACCCCTGGGAGTTGATGTTTGGATTTGTTTCTGTGTTGCTTATAACACCAGTTTTCTTGTTTAGTTGTTTTTTCCAAACATGCTTCGCTACTGGACAATATATACTGTGATTAGAGAATTTTCTGTAACATTGCACACAGCACTGGAAATTAACAGTTTTATAATGTATTCAATTTATAATTAAACAAATACTTTATATTCAGCCTTCATCTTCTGGATCTGATTTTATGTTGTTACTATAGAAACACATGGCATTTACATTTTGGCAAAATATCCGTAATGAATGTGGGTTTTTTGGTTGTTTTTTTTAAAGTGAGTTATCAATGGATTGCTGCTTACATTCTGACTTTTTTAAGTAATGTTTTGTCTTGCACATACACATTCGTTAATCAGAATCAACTGCCTCTGGTAGATAACACAGCAATATGTTTAAGGGCACACTTTCAAAGTTGGTAACCCTGCTGTCTTGCCTCAAGGAAATTTTACGTTAAATTCTAAGTGCAACAGAACAGCCAGCCTTGTGTTACAATCTGGCAAACAGTATTTGTGTCTTTGAATCCTGTTTGCAAGAGAAGAGAAAGTCATAGCTCAGCAGGTTTTGTACATTCAGAAAACAAACCTTTTACCTTAAGCAAGGCTTGCCCGCTGTACATGTTAGTTGGTGAATATTCGTGAGAATCATTGAGCTAGTGATATGATGTTACTGAACTAACGAAGTAGGATGAGATCAATTGTCAAGAAGAAAGTCACTCTTCATACATACAAATACTTGGCATTTATGTAGCACTTTACAACTGTAACAGAGTGTCCTGCCTTTAAGAGCAAGATTTTTCAACAGTGACAAACCCTATTGGCTCTCTAAACAAACCACCGACAAGTCACTCCTTAACCAACCAATACCGAGCACTGCAGTTCTGTTTAACAGCTGTAGTAACGCACGATAGCTGCAGTGAACTTACTGATTACATATTGAAATGTTACAGAAGGGGAGGATGAACATAAGGACATATTTCACACACACTTTCTGTTGAAGTGGACTGAGATCCAGGGTGCCTTGTTGAACGCCGCAAGGCTCTAACCCTTGGAGCTTTGAACAGCCCAGCTGTTTGAAGACTCCAGGTGGTTAATTGCTTCCTGGTGGTGAGGGGCGGAGCTGAGCTAAGCAGGGAAGACTGGTATAAAAAGCCAACTGGTAGGCAAACTCAAGGGTTAGTGAAAAGAGGAGTTTTGGAGGGAGTGTGAGAGAGGCTTCCCTTCCAGGTGCAGCACTACATTGGGTATAAAGATGGTCAGAGATGGAATAGTGATTTGCCTGAAAATCGAAGGGATTTCATGTGCATGAAGTGCAAGTTGGTGGCTGTGCTGGAGGAAAAGATTGTTGGATCGCAGGGGCAAGTTAAGATGCTACTGAAAAGCTGAGGAGTTCGTAGGCAACCATGTTCGGAAAACACCAGTACCCCAGGTTCAAGGAAGAATGGAGCTGGCCACCAGGAATCTGAAAGAAAGGGAGTCAGAGGAGGCCTGATGGTTTGTAATCACCAGAGGCAGGAGGTCATGGCAGTGTTCTAGCTGGCTGGCGACAGATGCAGATGGGCAGGTTGTAGCCATCCGAAAGAAGACCAGGAGGAATTCCATGTCACTAGACTTTTCAAATCGATATCAGGTCCTCTGTGACAAATTTGGAAGATACCTCTCAAGATCCAGCAGGTCTAAGGGAACGGATAGATGTATGGGACACACGTGGATGGCAGCTCACCCAACCCATAAGAGAATCAAGCTTGCCCACAAAGAATTCTCAAACTGTCCAAGGAGGATAGACAATCCTTGCTGGAGATTTTAGTATTCAGAAGATTGACAAGACTACACTGTAAAGGACAGGCGGACAAATAATCTATTTGTAGCTGAGCAAATAAATCGCTACAAATAAAAAAAACTTGTTTTGCCTTTTCATTGTGTTTGCACGTTGTTAGCGAACAGATCACAATAAACAATACTCTCCAACATATTCATATTCATAACTTTCTTCAGATCTGCACATGGCTTGCAAACATTTAGCTGTGAATATTCACAATTAGCAATTTATCCTGTGTTTGAGCCCCAGTTGTGTTTTCAACTGGAACATCTGGTCAGAAAGGGCCCTTACAAGTCTAGTTGGCAGCACAGGAAGGCTCCCTACTCGGCTCCACGCGACTCGTGAGAAGCCGCTGGCATCTCCCTCTGGAACCTAGGGGGAGGTTGGCCACAGGGGTTCTGCGCACTGCTCCCGTTGGCCAGGAATCACAGCCAATGGGAACTGAGGGGCCAGTGCCTGCAGGCACAGGCAGCACGCTGAGCCCCATGGTTGTGCCTCCATCTAGGAGCCAGAGGGAGCTGTCACTGCTTCCCGGGGGCCACCTGAGGTAAGCGCCGCCCAGAGTCCACACCCCCTCCCATGCTCCTGCCCCAGCCCTAAGCCCCCTTGTGCACCCCAAACCCTCATCTCTGGCCCCACCCCAGAACCGCAGCCAGAGCCCTTACCCCCTCTCGCATCCCAACCCCCTTGCCCCAGTCCGATGAAAATGAGCGAGTGAGCAAGGGTGGGGGAGAGCGTGCGATAGAGGGAGGAGGGATGGAGTGAGCAGGGACATAGCCTCAGAGAAGTGGTGGGACAAGAGTGTTTGGTTTTTTGCAAGTAGAAATTTAGCAATCCTAGGTGCTAATAGGCCCAAAGTTCTACCCATGTAGATTGGGGCCTAGAACATCACTATTGTTTGCTCTGTTTGGTTGGATGGTTACCTAGGAGTTTAATGAATAGTTTAAAAATATGTAAGTCGAAACCCGTGGGGGAATAAATCTTTTTGTCTATAAGTGCACTAAAGCAGTCTTACACTATGTTGTAAACAACACTTATTGGTAGTTATATAAAATGGTGTCTTTCTCTGTTAGAGAAATGCATAATGAAATTATTTGCAATGCCTTTTTTGTGCCTACATTTATATACTAAATAAGTGCATACAGTTAGACGGATATATTAAAGATTATAGACTGCCTTTTATTACACAGTTGCCCTTGATCAGTGGGAGTTCCACCACAGGTAGATGGCAGTACACAGCCCTTGATTTCCAGATACTGTGCAGTTGAATAACTGTGTCCAGGCGGCTGAAGCTCTCTTCTTCCCTTTTTCAAGAACCGGTGTGAACACTGGGCTTTGCAGGCCTCAAATCTCCTAATTTTGTCTGAGAATAGTCCGCAAAGTACAGTATCACTTTTGTACCATCTTGTATTTCTTGTAAATGGCAGCCTGCTCATATTTAAACTACATATCCTGGCCGCATTTCCCAGTTCAATAAAAAATACCAGCCTCTGACCATTTGAACTAATTCCATTTAGTTACGAATGAAAGACAGATAGTGTGTAGTCTATATACGTAATTCTGTCAGTTTCGAGCCAGTATGGATCTCTATAGATCTGGGTGGTGAGCAGCTATTTCGCTAATTAATTAAAGGCTGTTTAGTGACTGATCAAATACATAACCTGCCTCTTTATCACCTTCGTATTCCAGATTACAGAATAGCAAATAATCTTTCGTTTGCATAACAAATATCAAGTGAAATTTATTTTATGAAGGTAAGGCAGCTGTTAATCTCCTAAATTTTCTCTAGCACTTATAGAATAACTCAGTTATATGCATGTTTTAAAATTTTAAATTTATAAATGCCATGTTCATGGTATCTTAAAAGTAGGTATTTTCGTATATCCTGTTTAGGGCCCTGCCTCCACAGAGAGTGAGGCGGTTAGCACAGCATATTGGAGGGAGCAAACAGGAAAAGCAATTATTTGTACTGGTGGGGCTTACCCCTGTTTCCAGCAAGGATCAGCTGCACTGGTTCTGCTGCCTGCCTACTCTAAGGCATGAGTGCAGCCATTCTGGTGGCTGGCTACTTTATAGCTATAATTGGGACAAATCCCCAGGTTGGACAAGGACAAAGAAGGGCAGGCTTTTGCCTTTGCCTTTTAAAATGTTTACTCTTCCCCATAAAACTACAAACCCGCTTTGCCATATTGTGGGGGTAAAGTTTTACAATGGGGTGCTTCATTACCAAGCAGTGAGACGTGTGTGTCCCTTAGCGTTGACCGAAGTATAATTGCTTGTCTCACGGATATCAGTATCAAAGTCTCACGTGTATGAGACATTTCTCTAACTGCCTTCAGGAAATCCTTAACAGCATCAGAGAAAGTGATGGTTTGGTAAATGGCTGGCCATTTAGAGCTGAGTTTTGGTTTGAGCTGTGCTAATTAAGTTGTGCCGCAATAAAAATGCGCTGTTTCCCAAGGGTCTCGATAGATATTATTGTGGCAAATGAGGTGATTATTATTGTCAGTTTCAGAATTAAGTGGATTTATAACACTGAGATATATCAGACCAGTTCTGCAGCTTGAGCATCTATATGTGTGTCTAACTGCATTCAGGGTACCGGTGGTTTGTAGCGTGGAATAGATTTGCTTTAATTGTTGTTCAGAGTCAGCTGCAGTTATGTGGAGTGTTAGGTTTATTTGAATTGTCCAGGCAAGGCCACTTCCTATTCCAGCTCAAAAGGCCAAGTTATCTCCTCAGAGTTGTAGGTGCAGGTGTCATTGAAGTTACTGGGTCAGGCTCTGGCACCCTTGGGGAATTCCCTTCAGGGCAGGAACAGCATAGCATTTGCACAACAGCTTTACACTACCGAAATCATAACTCCTGCTGGAATCTGAGTGAGGCTGAGGGTGGGAGTGGCCAAAGTACAGAACTCTCTGGCTAGTCTGAGCTGTGGGGCAGCCCAAAGCTGTTATGAATTAGTGAAGCATTTAGGACTACTCTCCTTAGTGCTGGAGGTTGGCTGCTGGAGTAAGCTGAAGAAGAGGGGGACAAAGGTGGCTCAAAGCCTGAAAGATGCAGCAGAGAACCTGGCTCAGGGTGTATGTGTGTTGGAATAAGCTTTAGCTAGCCTTTTTTGGGTTATGTTGGGGAGAAGTCTCTTTGTGAAATATTGTTGCTACTTCTTGGTTCACTGACTCCCTCTGAATTTGCGGGAAGAGGGCTGAGAGAGAGGGAAGGGGTCTATTATAAAAAGTAGAGGTGCTGGTTAATGAATAAATCTGGACTTAACTCCCTTTTCATTTTTTCTTTGCTGTTCAGCTTTAATAGTCTGTATTTCAGCTGCTCAGTTTAGACTCTGGAGAAGGGCACAGTCTAAACTTTTCTGTAAAGTGCTCTCCACAACCATGCAAGTGTGAAATTCTCTTCTGTGCTCATGTTGATGGCAAAAGTGGTGCAAAAGCCTTTCGGAGGCTCATGCAGGGTGAATTTCCTTTAAATAAATAATTAAAACCACCAACACATTTTAGTTGATATCCACTTCAGCATGAATTTTCACAGATTTTGTGGTATGTCACTCAAAGACTTAATCTGGAAACAGATTGACCATTTGGTTAGCATCTTTAGAAGGAACAACTTTCAGAACCTGCCTTTGGGGTATGATCCAGACAAGGATCTCCCGGCTTCTGAATTATAACAAAGAAGGTCTGGTATATTGGAGGTATGGGAGTAAAACTCTATGTAAAATAGAAGTCATAAAAGCAGAATTCATGCTTTTGTGTATCATTTTGCAGCATGAATGCATTCAAAAATCATGAGTCAGGTTCCCAAAATTATGAGACTGGGTTAAAAATGATTTTTCAGATAACAAATATTAGGGGTTTTTTTTGCTTACCTTGTAGTTTTTTTTGAACCTTTAGGATTCATATTGTGCAGCTTTTCTCCACTGCAGTGAGGGCTAGAAACTTCTTTTGTTCTTGTTTTCAATGTAAGCTGATATTCTCACATAATTACATGACTCAGGAACTGGGGCTTTAAGTAAATCACCAACTATTGTAAGGCTCATGATTAGGGCCCTTCTAAATTCACAGTCCATTTTGGTCAATTTCATGGTAATAGGATCTTAAAAAGTCAATTTTATGGTTTCAGATGTTACATCTGATGTTGGAACGGTGGGATCCTGATCCAAAAGGCAGTTGGCGGGGGAGGATGGGTTGCAAGGCTATTGTAGGGGGCTCGTGGGATTGCATCTCCTACTTCGGTGCTGCTGCTGGTAGGGCACTATCTTCAGAGCTGGGCAGCCAGAGAGCAGCAGCTGCTGGCTGGGCACCAAGCTCTAAAGCCAGCGCCACCACCAGCGGCAGCATAGAAGTGAGTGTCACAGTGTTTGGGAGGAGGTAGGTTACCATATGTCCACATTCCCCTTGCAATCTCCCTGCCTGGATCGGGGGCTGACAGCTCGGGCATTAGCCTCGCCGTACAGGTTTCTGCAGCTTTCTGCAGCTGGGGGAGGTTCATGGGGGTGACTCCTGGAGTGGCCCCTGTAGGGGAAGAGGAAGTCCTGTCCCTCCCCAATCCAGGCTGGGATTAGCAGCTGAAGCCCAGCCCATAGAAGGAGCCCCCGGCTGAGGCACCCCCAGCACTGCCCCTCCCTTACAGTGGCCAGATTTCATGGGGGAGAGCAGATTTCATAGTCTGTGATGTGTTTTTCATGACAATGAATTTGGTAGGGCCTTACTCATGACAAAATCAGGAAAATTGGCAACACTGGTGTTTTGGTGATCTCACAGAAACTACCAGATTCATGGTCTGCATTCATCACAACGTTAATGGGGAAAATTCACTTTCAATGATATTAGGAATAGACTAACTGTCGTGAAGTCTTATGTGCCTCACCTTAAAAAATTCCAATGTATATGGAGCCTGCACATACTATACTTTGAGTAAAATCCTCACACAGTCAAGAAAACGAATAATAGAAAATACTTGGGTGCAACCTCGCTCTGGCTACTAGACTGCAATAGTTTTCCAGAGCATGAAACAAAACACCAAGAGCTGTACAACTTACTGTTGGATGACAGGAAGTAACAGGTGAG